GGATAGTGTTCGTTCGTCCCATCAATCTTCTGGTTACGTACGCCAGAGAGGACAGCCGGATAAATACTCGATAGGCTATTTCGTATCGGTCAAAACAGAAAACACTCGACGGAAGACTTTCCTCTTGGCAAGCCGCGACCAGCCCCGAAATAACGCGCGGCTCTTTTTCTCTCTCTTCGCACGAGAAAGGAAACTAACAAATATCAGAGAGAGAGAGAGAGAAAGAGAGAGAGGGGGGGGGGAATTAGAAAGAGTTAGAGGAAGAACAGATCTCCCGCTATGAGCGCGCTTAAAAATAAAGACTTACGTTGCTCTTCAAGTTCGCCCGCGCGGGAAGAAATCGGCCAAGTTCTTCCACGACGAGACGGGGGACGTTCCGGTCAGTCTTCTGGGTTAGCCCGTCGAGTTTTTATCAGAGTGAAAGCACACGATGGAGTGTACGAGAGTCGACTTCGCGCTCGGTGGAGCGTGAGAGCGTGAAGGGGAGAAGGGAGGAGAGATCTTCTCTCAGAGATTGCCGTGCTGTCAAATGTTGCTGGGCGCGATCGAAAAATGACGACCACCCACGGCGGCCACATGTACTATGTGATTAAGGTGCCCAAGGACACCGACGGCAACGAGAGGTAATCGCACTCGACAGCTCCTTTACATAAGCACCCCCCCAACACCCTCGATAATGCCCTCCTTCTGCAACACCTATTCTCTTCACCCGCGGTTTCTTCGTCGTTTGCGTCCTGTTCGCGTCATCTTCGGTTCGCCGCATATGAGATATCGCATCTCGAAAGCTTCAGCTGACAGACTTATGAACAATGTCTTGCGATAATCGAAAATATTGCATTAAAACGGAATGATTTTTCTACGAAAATATATTTTAATTCTTGCGAGACGTTCTGAAATTTCGTACAGTAAAAAACTCGGACCACATAGAAGTAATTAAGCGACGAAATTTTTTTAAATCTTATACATATATATTTCATTTTTCACTGGAAGTTACTCAAAGATTGTTGATATCTAAACCTTACATTTTGTATATGACAGCTCGATATTTTTCATCTCTTCTAGTTCATTGCCTCATCATCTTGCGTTTTCTTCCTCATTCCCTTTCATGCTTTCCTTCTCCTCGTTTTTCTCGTCTCCTTTCTGTCTTCTTTTCACATGCTGGTTTCTTTTCATCGCGAGAATAGTTGGCTAGATTCGATCGTTGCGCAACCGTGCTCGAGCTATGAACCGCATCGGCCTCAAAGAGCAAAGAGCGACGTCTCTCTCGGAGGTCTTCAACCCCTGACCGATTGTATAAACCTAGACAAGGGTTACATATTAACCGCAAAATCCGCCGACGGATCATGACGGTTATATATATATATATATATATATATGTTTTATTTCGAATAATTATCAAAAGTACGGAGTTATTTTTGATATATTTGTGACAAATACGAGTATCATTCGAGAATTAATCGTAAATTAAGAGATAAATGTTATAATAATGTTTATTTTAATAATTTGTTATATTAGTTATATAAGGCTCGAAGAAATTCGAGATTAATAAAGGCAGAGTTATAAACAATAATATTTAGATTAAATATAAATTTTTCGCCTTTCGAGAGTTGATTATCGATATTAGCTTTGAATTCGTTGTTTGAATAATAAATATTGAAAAGTTTGTGATTACTGTATAAAATGTTTTAAATGACTAATTAAATACCAATTGATTTGATTTACTTTATTAAAGACTTATTTCCAAATAGATATTTTTATATAGACATTAAATCATAATTGATTTTATAATGAGGAAATATCCAAACAAGTATATTATAATTGTTCACAGCATTATTCGTTATGCTATTTAGAAAATGGTCGAGCCAAATAGAAAAATCGTCAGTTAAAAATGAATGAAGATTATTGTTAATGGAAAGAACGAGAAAGATGAAAGAAACTCAATTGCGTCTGGAATCTTCACCTTTAGCGAAGTTACCTTGAATTGATCGAATAATATTACAAGAAGTAGTGAAAGAAAAACGGAGGTCGATTGCGATCGATCGTGCCGTCGGAAATCTGAACCGGTCCTCATTTCCTATCCGTCTAGACGTTATTTCTAAACGGCCGATTGCACCACACAGTCATCTGCGACAAACCTATATATTAAATTAGTAATCCAGGAAATAAGCCGTCCAATTTCTCAACGGTATCTAATGACTTAGTTTTGCACGTGCAAATTTTCGCATTGGCGATTAGAAGATCAAATTAATATATTTTATATATAATTAATATCCCAATCTCAATTTAATTTATTCTTCAAAGCAAATGAAATGTCGAGAAGAGACGAATATATAGAGAGAAAAAAAATACTCGAAGGGAAATACTCATAATAAAAAAAAGAAGAGAAAATTCTACAATTCCGACACGCAGATTCTAGCTGGCGCGACCGGGAAGCAGCGTGCAGATCGACCGGAAGTCCGTGCGCACGTATAACAAGCACGTGCGCTAAGCGCGGACGGGTAACAGTGCACCACGGCGCAATTAAGCGCAGCGGTGAAGTTAATGTCACGGTCATCGCGGAGCGGATCGCAATTGAGCGTAATTTGCTCGGCGCGCCTGCAACCGATCGAACGTTACTATATAGGGACGCGTTTAAATTTAAAGTTTCTTGCACAATGCCAGGCAACAGGCAATAGGAACTGGAAATAACAAAAAAAATCGTTAATTACAACTTAAAAAATTCGAATGCTATGATTGGAACGCACAGAATTTCCATGCAACGTGACGGAAACTCTGTGTCTATTGCCTGTGTCACTGTTTATTCTGAATTTATACATGTGATTTCTGATTTCTATTCCCTGTTCTTATTGCCTGTTGCCTGGCATTGTGCAAGGGGCTTAACATTTAGGATCTCAACAATTTTTCGCGCGAGGTATTAACAATTTTGAATTTGACGATAAACAAACGATTTGTTGACGCGATCGACGAATGATCGATATGCGTCATGAACGTGCAGAGACGTCTCTTGACGCGATATCTTTACCGGGCACTTTCGATATCGGCGTAAAACGATTGTGTACAAAAAAATGCTTGGTATCGATGCCGCGTTAGTGCTCAGCAAGATAGAGACGTCCCTATTTATTATCGCGCGCCGCGATACGAAACTTTCGGACTCGCCTGTCGCGAGTGCATGCGGTATGCGGTTCTTCAAGGTGATCGCGAAATTATTCCACCTGGCTTCGTAAAACTCGCGTTAAAACCCGCCAGCTGCGGCTTTTGTTATCCGCGGGCGTATCTTGAGAACCGCTGCGAGCGACGCGAGGCGTGCGTGTGCCTGCGATTAGCGTTCCGTGAATCGGAATTTAATTAGAGAGTCGAGGAAACGAGGAAAGGAAGCGTCTTGCAAACCTTTCTTCCCGCGTATCTATATCCGCGCCGTGGAGACCTCGGCAGTCACCGATAGCGTGCGATTAACTTGAAGTACAATACACTGAGAAAAAATTTTTTTCGCATTTTAACAAATATTAATTTGCATACAACTGTAACTTTATTTACTGAAATAAAGGAAATTTTCTGTTTTATTAGTATATTTTTTTCTCGGTGAATACACAATAAAAAGGAAAATTTTCTTCATTTTAATAAATGGAGTCGCAGTTGTATGCAAACTAATATTTACTAAAATGTAGAAATTTTTTTCAGTGTATTTTTGGACCTAAAGAGTCGAAGGATCCGAAAATTTCAGAGGAGATTTTTCGAGATGAAAAACTGCGTGCCTCCATGATAAATAACGTAGATATAGAAAAGTTGCAAAATGAATTTCTACGTGAAATAACAGATCTGCGGTGCTTATCAAAATAGATTTTATTTAAAAAAATGTAAACTCGATTTATTAAATTATTATAACTTTTTGTCTTGCGCGTTGTAAGTTTTTAAATAATTATATTTAGACATTTTAATTGGATTTGTATTTCTGTCAAGTCAAGTAGCTTATTTTCCTGATTATAAAGATATAAGTAGGTCAATATCGATAATCTCTTGGTCTTACGCTCTGTTGCTTCAAGAGTTTTGCATTAAGCTGGCACTATATTAAGAAAGAAAATGCTTGAGTGCACAAAACTGACGCTTGGATGAATAAAACAGATATTAAGTTGAGACTGAACAAATTGCATAATTAAACCGTTTGCTTTTAATAACGTTAATTACTAATGCGTCGACAAAATTTACTATTGCATTAATATGTAATCTACTCAAGTTTACATTTTTTTAAATAATGGCCGTCAGTTTTACGCATCGAGGCAGTTTTATCCTCGTGTATATCAACGATCGCGATCTTTTACGCTATATGGGAGGAATTATCTCGTGCTAGAAAGCATTTTCCATATAAAACGCAATTTTTATGCAGCGAGATCCATCATTAAGATATCCAGAAGCACGTGTTATTATTATCACATAGCACGATATTATCAAATATAGGACGATTCATAAGTGACATATAAACATTAATAGTCGATTTCTTATTTAAATTTAAGGAAATTTTTACGAAATGATATAAAATTCTTAATTATTTATTTATCTCGTATTCATGGAAGTAAACTCTTTAAAACACAAAATCCGAATAGCACATATAGAGAATAAAGTGCTAAAAAAAGAAGATGCATAACAATAATATTCAATGAAGATGAAGATGTTCTCGCAAACCAGTAAACTTCACAAACTAAATGATCTCTTTGTTTTTCAATTAATCTGAAGTAAATCTTATTGTAACAAAAGTTTACATCTAGTTATATCAGATCAAGAAAGATGAAGATCTTTTTGCATTAAATTTACGAACGAAATTAAATAATCTCTTTGGTTTTTATTTGATTTAAAGTAAATCCTATTTGAAAATCTGAAAGATTGCGATGGAAGCAATAATCCTCGGCAAGAATCGTTGTCCGAATAAGGAATCTCGTTTGAGATTCGCGAAATATAACGAGAGGAATTTTTTGCGCAAAACTAACCGCAGCTTTTTCTGATTTCAGTACGGACAGCGGCTGGGACAACCCGTTCAGGCCGGACGGCGATCTCTCTCGGGAAGCCGATGAGATCGTCGAGCTGATAAAGGGCGGGAAGCCGATCACGCCGACCCCGGGTCAAAACGCGCCGCCGTTGCCGGGATGCGATGGTAAATCCAGTACCAGTCCACTCCTCAAATCCGCGAATTGCCACGCCAATTCGTCGCCGAGGCCGGGCCAGGAGAATGGCAGCGCACACGGTGGCACTCCTTCCAAGACCGGCAATCAGCCTGTTAATTTTGAAAAGGTAAAACGAAAAGGACACGTAACAACTTACTCTATTTTTGCTTCTAGTTTGATAGTGCCTGTATTTAATGTTGGAAGGTCTACCAAATTGAACATAAGGTAGACTGGTGGAGGGATCACAGAAGAAACGAGATAATTTTAACAACTGTTTGTAGTGATGAAATGTATCTGGTTCAGGTCGGCGCGTCCCGGACCGCGACGGTGGAAGTCGCGAGGATGACGGCGCAGGGCCCGGGCGACGCATCACAGGTCGAGCACGTCACTCTGAAGAAGAAGCCTAAGTGCAAGTGCTGCGTGCTGCAGTAATGATCGCGCGACGAAGGTGGCGGGGACGCGCACGTGAGACGGACTCTCCTTCATTATCGGGAGCGTGACTTCAGCTTCGAAGCTACCAAAGAAGTCACGGCTGGGCAGCTCGAAGCATCGAGAGCGCATCGATGAAGAAGCGGCTCGAAGAGGATGCCGGAAACACAAGGAGAGCGCCGGCATCCTGAACACGCTCGGGGCCTGAGAGGAACAAGTCCAGAAGATGACTTCTTGGAGAGAAAGAGAGAGAGAAAAGAGAGTTTCGTCTTTGAAGAAACGTGGAGCGAAGTATTTGAAGCGAATGTGATTGCGAATAAGAGAGCGCTGTCAGATTGTTGAGAATCTGAAGAATGAAATGGAGTAAGTCGAACAAGATGTCAAAGAAGCTTCGTGTCTTTTAATCACGAAGAAATTCCGATGGGAAAAGAGGGCTTGATCAGAATACAAAGAAAATGAGGTAAGAGATTATCGATTCTTGTTGAGGAGATTGAAATCTCTCTTAAGATATTCTGGAACGTGAAGATTGAAGCTAACTCTTGCCGTGAAAGATTCAACTCTCACCAAGCTATCTCCGGTTTTCGAGCACAGGAAAGAAGGCGTCCACGTGGAAGACAAGAACGAGGAACGAATCGTCAGTGCGCGAACATTGAACCGCTTTTCGAGACAGTGATATTTTATGATGTTATTCATAAAATGTTCATTTTATGATGCGAGAGACTAGAGCTAGGAAAGAAACGGGAGAAGAAAGAGAAAGAAAAAAGAAATCTATATATATATATATTATACATACAAAACTATATTGTAGATACAGAATGGTAGCTGTATAGCTTATATGCTTTTACTATCGTGGTTAATTATCGTCAGGATTATCGTGATTTCAAGAATGCATCGTGCGCGTAGAGCGAGAACGAAAAAGAAAGAATGCGTGAGAGAAAGCGCGAATGTGCGAGAGAGAAAGGGAGAGATGACGATGAATGATATGACTATAAGGGGAAGAGTGTGCGCGACGAGGCATGTAAAGTTCCGCGGGACGTCATTCGTCCGTTAGATCTCGGTGCGAGCAGATACATCGCCGTTTCTGAGGAAGCTAACTCGGCAGCTTTGATCAATCTTTTCTTTAATGCACTGCGAAGGGTATTCGACGCGTCGAACAGCGCTGTATACGGAAAGAGTGTACCAGGATATACCGCGTACTCCGTTGCGTCTACGAATTTCTTGATCAATCTCGGGTCGATTTTAATCATTTTACTAACAACAAAATATGTCGTTTGTGATCAAGAAAGAGTACGCGGTTTTTGGCACACTTTGTATGATAGGTAAAGCGTTTTATTTCATTAAACGCATCGAAGAGTTCCGTAGGTAAAATTCTCTCTTCTTCCTCTTTTATATTTATTATTTCAGACAGAATTTTGTTGTCTTAAAAAATTATTATTATTCTATTCCCTTCGCTTATTTTTATTTCACTTCCGAAAATTTATATGTTAAAATTTTGACATACAGCGAGACCTTCGTATTCGTCAAGGTAAATAATAATAATAGAACAGGGGTCGGATATCCCTCTCCCATGAAAACAGGCGTAACGAGGCGTAAGTGGATGACCAAACAGGAAATGGTCTCAAATGCTGAAAAGTAATATAGCTAATAATATTAATCAGTAGAAGGTACTGGTTACCGTCTACATTGACTGCGTTTCGAAAATATAATGTTCAAATGATTAATTTTTTTTAAATGCGTTTGATCGGTAGACGTAGAAGTATTTAAGATCGTTAATTGATAATTAACCATTGTGTCTTGACGTGTGATTATAATAATCAATGAAGATTTCCGAAAACTAATGATTATGATGGATGCAATAATGCTATTTATTAGGGTTGCTTGTCATGATTATAGGTTTTATTATAAATTTTACTACATTTATATATTTATTTTGTTTGTGTCATCGGGAATGACACAACGAGGAACGTTTCTTCTCGATTACTATTTCCCAAAATCTTTGATCTGGTCCCACAACTAGTATCTAATGATAAGGCAGCTTGTTCCTAATTTTACCTGCGGAACTCCAAAGAAGAAAGGATTATTTTCGCGCGGGTATAAATAGCGATTAATGCGTTAAACGCTATTGCTCTTACAAAGTTCGAGTCTTGAGAATCTTCACGCGTGTCTCTTATAGAACATCGTTGGATCAGTTGTTGATTGCCCTCGAATCGGTAAGTCCGCCCTCAGTTTTGTCCGCCACAAAATGCGAAATTAATCCCGAATCTTTTTTTATAGCGATCGATATACATGTGAGATTTTCTATCGTAACAGATTATGCAAAGTATTCGATTTGATTGCGATTTTTTAGCAATTTTAGGAAAATTTAAAGGAAAGGCGAGAAGAAGTTATTCTTGCGGTTAATCATGGTGAATAAAATCGCGCCTTTTTGAACATGCCGAGGGTTCGATCTTGAGGCCTCGTCATGTTCGACCGAGTACCTAAGTGCATTTCGTTAATTATCCATCATGAGCGCCGCCAGAATTGTCCATAGAGGCACGCATATGCAGGATTGTTGAAATATAAAATCTTTTTGTCACGATTATATATACATTTTATATATACAGTGCGTTTTATTATTGAACTGAAAGGAATTTCTTTCCTTGTTTTATAACATTAATGGCATGGTGTCGGAAATTTTAAATTAAAAAATTTTAACTGAGCGTTTCTTCGCTCTCTTTTTCGCCTTTCTTCGGAAATTCGGATGAGCGTGCCCCCTGCCCTTTTCTCACGACGCTCATGATTTTTATGTACCTGCGTTAATGAGTTCCGCGTTCGATTAGGGCAAGCTGGGACAAAACAAACTATTCAAAACTCACGATTACGAGCCTTAAATTACATAATTTAAATTTACATTCTGGAAACACGGTAGAACAATCGGTTTTCAAATTAGTCACAGAATTGTTGAAATGCATAATTTAATCAGACACTTTACTAGCTCAGCTTGCTCTAATCGACGGCGAAAGCGGAAGGTCGCGAGGTGCCGGGGGAAGAGGAACCGGATTATTCGGACGGTGTCGAAGATACTATTTTCCTAATTAACGAGCCGCTCGGAGGAGGAAATCCCGGCGCCTCCCCGCTTCCGCGCGGTGGCGATTTTTAATGGACGAAAACAATTTATTGTGCGAACTAGTCGAAGGTATCGGGAGGTGTTAACTCTTCGTGGCGGCGATCACATAAAATGTCTTTTGTATCATAATTGTTTTAAAGTTTCTAGTTGCATATATACATATATACAAGGGATACATTACAAGAGGGAGAAAGTACTACAAGTGGGAGAGTACCGGCATCGTTGCATGCACAAAGCGCGAAGCTAAATCTGCTCGAAATCCTTTTAATTTTACATCGTAAAATATCGCCCCTTTCTAAACGATATCAATAATTTATATCGAACGGTATTGATAATTCGATTTTAAGTCTCGTTAGAAGATAGTCGACGAACGTATGCAACGGAGTATATCTTTACTTTTTCTTATTCTTTTATCTGCTCTGACAATGTGCCCTTTCGCAAAAACTTGCGTTAATCCTCGTGAGGATCCGTAAGGGCTTCGACGGATCCGGAGATATTCAATATTTCGCGTGCCGCGAAGAGCCGATCGAGCGCAGTTTGCGCAGCGCAGTGCAAACGAGAGGAATCTGTAACGCGCATACCTACACACGAGAACCTCTTAACGTCTGTTCCCACGCAAAATGTTGACTCTGCTGAGCTTACAGATATTAAACGAATATTAAATGTCTTGTTAAAAAAAAAAAAAACTGGCTTGTGAAGGATGTATTGACTGTGTGATAACGAGGCCTACGAAGATTGATCCAGAATACCGTAAACATTAAGCATGATTAGAATTGAAATTCAAAATTTATGAATGAAAGAATATAACTCCGCGAGTTTCGCTTATAGAGCAATTTGAATGGAAATTAAGTCATAAATTAGCATTTTTTTTGCTTTCCAGGCATACCATAGAGCGTGCAGAAATTTACGAGCTCGTTTTCGGATCTGTTTTCGTAGGTCAACGGCCTCCTAATGAAACGCCCGTTCCATCTTGTCCCTTCGGTATTCCGCAAGAATCCAGAAAATGCGAAATAATAAATTACGAACTCAAGATGAGATGTGAACTCGACGAAAGACGAGCCATAAAAAGCAAATTATACTCCGTTATTAATTACTAACTTATGTTGATTGTAATATTTGTGTTGCATAAGGCAAATTATTTATTGAGTATGAAATAACCGATCAATTTAAAATACCTCTCGACACTATCTATCAAAGTGGCGACGACTTGGTAATAATTAACGGCCACTCTCGCTTGTAAATATCACGCACTAGTGAATGGCTTTCTACCGGACGGACGATTATCTTTTTTATAATATTCCAAGGAGTTTCATATTTGGCTTAAGAAAGAAATCGTGAAGTAGACCTCTTCGCGTACGAATTTTACACATTTAAATACGAACTTTGTGGAACACCGGCGAAAAGTACACGCTGCGATTATTAATCGTATTGTGCAATCGTTAGTAATCGATTGTTTTCCCGCCGCAAATTTTTAACGCGCGTATAGGTAACTAATTAGCGTTGAATTAATGATACGTATAACTGCGAGTCGAATAGCGTGACGTGAAAAATTACCGATTAAGAAACTAAATGGTGCAGATTTATCATTTTCCGCCGCTTTTCTCGCGTCGACGTGGCCGACGCATTTATTATCGCGTATATCCAACTCGCGGCTCGTGATCCTTTCGCCGAGGCGATCCGAGTAGGCGATAATCAAATGATGAAATCGTTAAGTCACCCGACGGGATTATGTTAATTGATATTGCAAACACAGGGTAGCGTCCTTACGTGATCCAGGTTCGTCCCAGATTTGCAGCGGGGATGCATCTCTCACCGCGGACATTAACCGGCTCGATACTTGGCGCCTCGCCAATGATTGATTTGCCAGAGTGCAACGGCCTCAGATTTTCCATCGCCATGCAGTTTCCTCGCGATGCAATCTAGGAAAAACGACTGTCGGACTCTTTCCTCGTTATTTGTGCTTTCTAAATTCTAAATTGATTCTTTATTGTTATTATTATCGGGCAAATATCAATTTTATGCCCTTCAATATTACCTAGCCATCCATTTTCGGGTGATAGATGAGTTCGCAAGGACCTCGTCACCCGCAAACAGTTTTATTTACTCACAGTCAGTCAAAAGTGATATATAAGGATATTGATCAAAAGTAAAAAAAAAAGTAAAAAATATTATTTGTACAATATAATGCGTTTATTACAGCAAAAGAAATAAATCTATTATCTATTTTAGCGATTGACAATATGATTGGCTCTGCATACTCTACGTACGATCACGCACTTCTCTGCACGCTCATAATTAGCTTGACAGTCAAAGTGTTAATTAATTAAATTACCACTGTAATATCGTCGTACTTAGGCAACTAAAGTTACGTATAATTATAGGGAGATGAAGTAATACACGCCATATCCTTTTTTTTTTATTTAGAATGTTTAGTCATCTTTCTCGTGCGGGATGACAACCGTGAAAACCGTGATTTTGCCCTACCTATTAATTACCGTAAAACAAACTGCCGCCGCGGTTTATCGGTTGCCATTATCGGTTCGCAGGGAGTTGGCTGCCTATTTAGGATCGATACACGAAAGTATGTCAACTATAATCGCGGTCTCGCGATACTCACGTCGTCGCGCGTGCCCCCCAGTGCACGCCGTAGCTCGTTTCATTCACGTTCCCCTCGATCATCCTCAACGACGCACTCGAGAGGCACCGTAACGACAGTTAAAAATAACGACGAGCGAACGCGGCAGTTATTATCAGATCACGCGAAGGGCTCGCAGCCAGAGTAGCCTAGCTGACCCACAATTTCTAAATAAAGAAGTTATTTTATTTATTCGCCCTCCCCGCCCCTCTCGAGTTATCATTCGCGCGAGACCAGATAATAAAATTTGGCAGGTGTTGTAGTTTTCCGAACAACGAACACGACACATTTTAATTTCTCAAAAAAAGATAAAAAGAGAATATCATAACGATATATCACAGATTTCGATAGGTTTCTCTGTTCTACAATTCTTCTATTACATAGTAGAGTATAAATTTATTGAATTAATCAATAATGATTAATGTCACTTGCTTTTTGTTATTATGATACATTTAGAAATTGCGCTGGCCACAGACATTCTGGTTCTAATCCTCGCGTCCAGGCATGTTCGGAACACTGGCATTTGAACACACGACGTGGGAAGAAAGAGACGGAGTTATGAAATCATAATAAATCGATGATTGAGTACGAAACGGTCAGTGTCGGAGGTGCTTTCGAGCTCTTGCACAAACATAAGCCGGCGGATGGAATCGGCTTCGGGCAATTTTTCGCACGGCCTATACGATAAAGATAAGGGGAGTTAATAAATCAACTCGCTCCGGGAGGATTGACGCTTAGACAAACCTTTAAACGTTGATTTTTATGAATGAAAAGTAAGAAACGAATTGGGATATGAGATGCAAATTAGAATTTTCTTGCGATTTATTACGAATTATTTACACTGTGTACATATTTTACGAAAGAAGTAATATAAGATGAATTATAATTCATCCCGAGAGATTGTCGTTTAAAGAGCCTTTCGTCCGTCAACTTCTGACGACGCGTCAATAATAAAAGACCACACACAGATGAATGCAAATTAACATTTATGATTTATCCGAACCGATTTTCGCTTCTTTCTATCGCGAATTTTTTCATTGGAAATATTTTAGATTTTACCAAAGGTCAAGGGGTAAATCGGCATAATGCGATAATCGCGATACACACCGTAACTCGAGGCAAATTAAATGTTACTTTATTTATCTCGTCGCGATTGCGTGCGCCGGACTATAATTTTGCGCGTACGTCGTGCTCGCGTTGCGCAAGAATATTTTTGTACGTCTCCACGAGAGAGGAGGTGTATCGGACCTTTTGCCAAAGTTACGCAACATCGAGAGTGACGGCGTTTAGCGTTACGTTATATTACATTGAACGATCTAAAATGACGATCTTCCTGGTTGCAACATTTCCAGTCGAAAATTCGCGTTCGTCAATTAAGCCGGGCCGAGGGACAAGGTTTCATCACGTATTTGCCATGCACTCTTGACGTTTAACTTCTCTATTCACGCATTTCTCCCTCCGGGTATAATCCTCTATATCTCTATAATAATGACTCAATGGGTGACTCGATCGATTTGTTAAAGAGGACCTCGAGTCACTATAACAAATTAATTATGTTAATAACCAAACGTTTTTAAGAAAAATTATTATTCGAATGTTATTTTTTCTGATATGACGGAGAAATTCTGAGGAAACTTTTGATTTTAATATCGCACTGTATATAAATTAATGTAATTAACTTATAATTATATTAATTTTAAACTTGAGTCACTATAAATTAATATAATTATAAATTAATTACATTAATTTATAGTGCAATATTAAAACCAAAAGCTTTCTCAGAATTCTTCCGCCATATTGAAAGAAAAATAACATTTGAATAACGATTTTTCTTAAAAGCGCTCGGTTTTATTCTTATAATTCGTGCGATCTCGAGCAGGAAACCTTTCTTCCCCGATGTATGAAATACAATCTACGGGATCAACGTCGATCGAGGCGATCGCTACCGTTACTAGATCGCGGAATGTGGGTTCGGCAACCGCGGTGGCATCGCGACAAAAATAAAATGTCAACGGAGAAGCGTCCCATTAGGAGAGCTCGAACGCATCCTATTAAAGGTTCAAGAGATCGCATTGTTCGTTCGCGTGCCCTTAAACGAGCCAGATCGCGGGGTCGTCGTGACAACGGTGGCCTTTAAATCGGCAACAATAAATCCACGTGTCCCTCGTTCCTCGCGTGCCCGTGCATGCCCCTATATATTTGCACCGGTCTCGCTTCACGCATCCGTCCTCGTAACGTCACTTAACTCCACGACGAGCATAAAATCTCGGAAACCTGAGTCGCGTCGATAAACAGCGAAGTCGTTTGAACTAATCTTCACGAGTAATTCAATTCACAAAAAGGAATTTTTTTAATAAAATGGCAACTCCATCAAAGACGTCAATACACGGAAGAAGAAATGATGCTGCGTTTAATTACCTAACAACAGTCTAATCGAAAATAATTTTGTTAATTCAATAACAGTATTAATGAAGCAATACGTCATGTTCTTATTTTAATAAAATGTTATTTGTTTTATTAATATTGTTATTAAATTAATAAAATTATTTTTAATTAGACTGCTGTTAGTTGATGCTGATAATTTGAGCTAAGCTCTTAAATCCTTTCTTTCTCTTTAAATATGGCGGGTTCATCGATTATTTTATCATAATTAATTTTGTTTGTATGTTTTACCGATAAGATAATTTAAATTAGAAATTTAAACTGTTGGTAAAGATTAAAGTAAAGATTTAAATTAGTGTATTAGACCTCTTTGCCCATTTAATAATTCAACTTGAAAATTTTAATTTTCTACCCTTCAGCTGCCTCTCGTCTCTGTTATACGACGTCCTGTGAGTTATTCCTATATATTCATTCCCGTAAATTCTCCCCGTTTTTACGTAAGGTCGGATTTCAAATTACCAACGCTCTTGGTCCTCGTGATTGTACACTGTGCCACGTATAAACGGTACCTGTAAACATATTAGTGCGAATAAAGAAGCGTTAAGAATCACATATACGAAAGACTTAGACCAGTTGTTCCAACCTGTTGGTTGTATGTCTCTTTTTCCTTCAAATTAGACAAAGATAGACATATGATTTAACTATCAGTTAGTTTCTCAACAGATTGAAACAACCGGTCTTTAATCCTGCAGCTAATCTCTGTCTTCCTGATGTAAAAAAAGGAATCTGCCTGAAACATCACTTATTGTTCACTTTCGGTTTGTGGTCAGCATGCCATCCACGGTTTATAGAACAACGTTCCCGAACTCCTTATACATTCACATACACGCGAAATATACGATGGGCCGCGTCGCGAGTCGCGAGCAAACGGTAGTCGCTCGCGCGGATCGTCTTCTCGAGGTGGTGATCAGAGGGGGAAGAGCGCCTGATCCGTCGTCGCGTTCACGGGGGTATATATAAGAACGGGGGCTCGCAGGACCACGGACCCGCCGACAGGACCCGATACCAGTCCCGGTGTGACACAAGGGTGCCCGCGATACCGAGCTAGGCGCTCCCGAGCCGCGCGCCGGGTGACGCAGTGCGAAGTGTCCTCGCTCGTCGTATACATCCTCGTTATCGTCGTCATAAAATGACAGCCACGATGGGTCATCGCGGGATTATACATTCGCTGGTACGTCCCGCAGGAAGAAATTTTCTCGCGACGCGATAGGAAAGAATTATTTAAACCAATATCAATATACCTTAAATTAATCCTAGCTAGCCACACTTATTTTCAAGTCCTTAAATTCGCCACACTGCAATTCGTGAGACCGTTCGACTTTGTCACATTGCCATTTTCATTCTAACTTAATATTTTTAAGCTTGTAATGTAGAAATTGGAAATACAGACTCTGAATAAGATGTTTATGAAGATGTTTGTATCAAGTAAATAATTTGCGTTTAAACTGAACAATTATTATAAGGAAACTAAAAAATTGTTATTATGTAAAATTGTAAAAAGTAGAAAACCGAAAAACGTTCAGCGGTCCACTGGACCGGAGTGTGGTGAGCTAGGGTTAAATAACATTTTGTTATTTTTAACTACCATGTGTGTCGATATTTTAACTCCAAGCTAAATTAACATTGTTTTAGTTAAATTAACGATATATTGAATAGGAGTAGTAGCGATCTATATGAATAGTTAAAACTGACTCAAACTGAGTATAATTTGACACTACGAATTTAACAGTGTGTGAAGAAAATCGAATTTACTTGGGGCCGAATTTACATAATTAACATAAATTCGTGATTCATAAATTCATATCAATTAGCTTACATTTGACAGATAAGCCAGATAAATTTAGAGATGTCACTTGTCAAACGTCATCATTCAACATATTACCTTTTTAACGGAGTTATACCAGTCATGAAAGCGATATTAATTTTGTAATTATTAAATTATTTCAATTATGATAACTTTCGGTGGTTTCGACTATTATTGTTAATTTCCAATCGATCGCTTCAGATGTGAATAATTTTTCAAAGTTTATTATTTTCGATTTTTTTTTAATTTTTATTTTGTACGTGAAAGAAACTTTATTCGTGCGCCAAACTCACAGGTTTAAATTAAAAGTCCGTCCGGCGAAAAAATAGGGAAACGCGTCGTCGTAAATTACTCTTCGGCGAAGTTCTCCATAGAAAACGCGGGAGGCGTGCTACCGACAATCCTTTCTCTCCTTCCCTTACGCAGATGCTGCGTGCCTTTCGCGGCTAACGCGAACAACGCGAATCATAAATTTCATTTGCACACACGTCGCAACTCACGTTGCGAAGCAACATTTTTGTGGAAAAGTATGCAGCCTCACTGACTGATGTGTTTGCACTCGCGACATGTTCCAATAAATACGAAATAAAATAAAAATCTTATCGATATTTCTAAAGTCGCACGTGCGACGCGCGGTTTACGCCTGCAGGTTCATTTTAGCCGTCAAAGCATATCGTGTTAACGTCAGTAGCAGCTTTATCAATCCTTTTTTAATATAAATTAACGCATCACGTAATCAGTTTAATCTCTACATAAATTATTAAATATGTCAATTTAATAAGTTAATAATTTATACGCTAATTATCGCGCCAATTACTAGTCTGTACATGTAATAGTTCAAACCGTAGATAAATTATTAAATACGTCAGTTTAATAAGTGTGTCAATTTATTAGTCAATCCAGCTCGATATTCCTAACGAACGTTAAATCATTTATATTGATCTTTGATTACGCAAACAAACGGATTTTTTTCGCTACAACCTTTCCATTACATTTCCCTCTCGCGTCTACATTTCTCTCATGCATCTCCGGAGCCGATTAACGCCAGATTAACGACTCGCCTTGGATACTTTGAGACATCAGCTCTGTTTCTCTCGCAGATGAAAGATACCGCCGCTGAGAAAGTATCGTCTCTGTCTCCGGCGCAATATATACCTTCGCGGTATGAGGGGTTGAAAGTTCATCCTTGCGGCGCGCGCGCGATTCGCGAGATTCCCATCGCGCCTTCGCAAATGACGGGGTCTAAGCGCGATATTGCGTCTTCGTAAACTCGCGGGGGCCGGTTATCGGGCCCCGAAGCGTTCAAAACGCGGGCCCGGCCGGCCCGGCCGGTCCATCCATTAAGTAGAAAGTGTCCTTTTCCGAGGGGATCCACCTCCAACACGTCGCGTATACGTACTTATATGTGCACGACGCGCGGCGATCCTCCAGCTGATTATCCAACGCGACGCGCGATGCGGTCGCGGGGTCATCCTCGGCAATATTCTCCGGTTATTCCTAGATAGATTCATTAATCCTCCCGGGCAATTTAAAGAGACAAGAGAAGGTGTTATTAATTTTCCAATTTACAAAATCGATTTTTTAAGGCAGAAATCTCGGTAAATCTCGGAAAGGATTTTACAGTTTCGACGTGAAGCTTTTTTTCACGTGGAATCGTATAACTTTTCCGATTTATTACACGAGATTTATTACAAAACACTCTTTAGATAACAACGTAGCATTGCTCGTAGCGCACAATTAAGAGGAAGGGTAATAATTGTGAAATCATAAGGCAAAGCTATCTATTTTTCTCCTCGCTGAGTCAACGTATTTATCATTTTTCTTTTTTAGCATTTTTCTCGAATAATTGGCTATATCTTAGTCAGTGTTTTTTTTTATATTAAGTTCTTTCCGAACTTTAATTACAGCTTGAAAAAAGTCAATACTTTTTGCACCTCTAATTGCTCGTTAAATTAGTATTTTTTTAACCGAGCACTTCGTGCGATCGTAGTCGATTCATTACTGAAGAGATTGAAACAATTTGAAAGTCTGTTTAATATTAACTAAGAAAAAGATATAATAAAGGTACAAAAGAATGTTTTTACAGACGAGCAGTTCAAAACTCTTGCCATAATTTATTCTCTTCTTCTTTGTCTACTTCAAATTAAGAATACAAAGGGTTCTACCAGATGACAAATCAACTGAAATTTTAAAACAAAATTGTTTTGCTTATTTATCTTCTTCTAATCATTCAAAGCTAAAAAAGTGTATGATCAATCTTTTTTGCGGACATTTAGGTATATCTAATAATCATTTTATACAGCTCAAAAACGTGCAGAAAACAATGTACTTTTTTTTTACTTAAAAAACTGATTTTTTTAAATTTAAGTTTGGTCATTTTCAAGTCCACTCTCTCATTTAAGAGTCACCTGTGTAAAGAACAACTCCCGCAGATTTGGTGTTTGCTGTCGTTCCCGGCGTCCTTCGCCGAGAGGCTGTCCCCAGATCAGAAGGCACCGCTGTTCGCGCGCGGCTCCGGCGGCCTGATCCTGAAGCCGCCCTTCGAGGGCGAGCAGAGGGCGGCCGCGGGTCCGCCGACCTCCGCGAATGTCGTCAGCGAAGACGGCGTCCAGAGGGAGGAGATCGCCACCCTGAAGCTCGTGGACGGCGAGCTGGTCCGAGTGGTAGAGGGATCCTATTCTTACAAGAGTCCCGAAGGAATCCCCGTTTCCGTTCAGTGAGGACACAATCTTATTCTCTATGATTCTTTTAACAATCGAGTGTTATCGACATATATGTTAAATCGCGTCCTCGAGAAAGATTTCAATTTTGCGCTTTATCGTTTCAATTTCCATCAAGATTGAGATTGTTTTCTAGTGTTGCTGAATCTCTAAATTTGAAATCGGAGTCTTTCGAATTTCCATTATTCGCTTAAAAAGTTAAAGCTTAGATACGACTTCGGAAACAAGGCTGCAATCCACTTAGCACTTGGAATGCTTCGAAGCATTAGATTGAACAGTCAGGACAAAGAGATCTACGCTTCGAAGCATTTCTAGCACTAAGCGGACTGCAGAACGGGTCACAAATTCTATTAGAGTAATTTTCGAGTAAATCCATTAATCCCTTTCAGTAAAGTGTGTAAAGTGTTATCTGTGATTTTTAACTCGAAGAGATAGATATTGTGACTCAAATCTGGATTCAATCAAAAACAGCTCTCACGCGGTTTCAATAATGCCTTAGTTACACCTTTTTTCCTGACGAGGAAAAAGACAAAGAAAATATAAAACGCAATCTTTGCATTCGCAAGCTACGTCGCGGACGAGAACGGGTATCGGGCTGGATTCAGAATAGGAGCTGCCGCGACCGGCGAAACGAAGGGGTCTCTCATCAGACCCCCAGGACCCTCCATCGGCCCCTCGGGACGCCAAATCGAATCCCACGTCGGACCCCCGGGACCAGGAAGTACATATCTGCCATCGAAGCCGGACGTCGATCGGAGTTATCTGCCGCCTCAATGATCTCGAAGGCTGGCGTGAACACGCTTTCCGTTTTGTCAGCACTGTGATCGGTGGATCAAGAGAGGCTAACGATTTTCTCTGTATAGAAATGTCGAGGCACAAGTAGCTTGAATTAATTAAAGAAAAAAAATTAATTCAAGCTGACTTAATTAAAGAAAACGGGATTGAAAAGTGTACAGTAGAACCTCATATCTTGGCTAACTTCCGCTACTTGCCTTGAGTCTTGACGCTTGCGGTTTGTTATCAAGATATTTAATTTAACAGTCTGTTAAATTAAATGAGAGAAAACGTAAACTTCAAAGTATTCGTTATAATACATATTTCGTTTTTCCGAGAGTAACATACACAAAGTACGGATACCAAAAAAACATGTTTCCCGAGATAAAATAACTTGGTAAAGTAAGCTGTTGATACAATCGACATAAATTTTCAAAATATGATCTTTCTCGTTCGAGTTTCTACAGTCGAGTTCTTCGAATCGTCGGCATCGATCGAATTCTCTATTCTTAATTTCCCCCGCTCACATTTGCACGATATATATGTAGAATGGAAATTTTATGTCGCGTAATTATGTCCTCAGCCTCATTCGTATCGACTTTTTCAATGTCAATGATTTATACCGCGATACTTGAGTCTACAATAATAATGTATGACGCATGATCCGTCATTTAGCGAAAATAGAACTTCTATCATCTATATGAGATTTCTTACAATGTATAATAAATTCGTTGTAAATATATATTAAACGAGCACGTTTAGCGGCAAATAACAACGATAAAATAACATCATATAAAACCAAATTTTCATATTTTAATTATATTTTTAATTTTTTAATTAGCGACTGTTTTCTTTTTATATTTTATAATTATTAGATTAGATTTTTTTAGTGTAAGCAAATCTTTAACGCAAAGTAGGTACGTAATTAACTCTTTGCAAATTGAAAATATTTATGGCCAGTTAAAAAAATTTAGTCAAAACTGTAATTTTTGAAATTATAAGACGACCTTCTCATTAGATCTTCGATGCAACTTCGCGACAATCGAAAGAAAGTTTGCGATTCACCCGGGAACGTAAACTTCGAAATTTCGAGGATAAAGAAACTTTACGGTTCGCAAATTTTTTCATGATGAAAAGGTCAAGTTACAAGATATATTCGTCAATATTATCCTCTCTGATATCAAGTGTTCGATTTAACAAGGTAAATTCGACTGTGCTTGTCTTTTATTTTTTGCAACGTTTGCGCAACGAGGCTTCGTAAATTTGGCGTCACCTCAACTTATTCTCCTCTGTCCTCTCCCGCAATTCGATTGACATGTAGACACGCGTAGGCTACGAATAAAGTGCATTTTTTTCTAGCAAATCCCTCGGGCCGTTTTGTAACGTCCGTGTCGCCGCGCAAACGTGGCGAAATCATCTTTTAACGCCGATTACGAGCCGCGATACGTGCTAAATCCGAAAGGATTCAGCAGCAGAGGAATGTGATAGTGCTCGCCGGGATTTTGCACATCGAACATCACGTCGATCATTGGGTACATGGAAGTGGTCGCGATTCGCCTGAAATAGTCGTTCACCCGAAACTCGATCTTGAATCTGCCGCAAGTCCTTCGCTCATCCTCCAACAGATCCCCGCAACGTCCGTTTGAGTCTGTCGTGCTGTGAAAAAAAAAATTAAATTAATGATGATAAATAAAAAAATAAAATCAACTTTTCCGCTTATTCAAGCGAATCAAAATGTATGTGCGAATGATATTGTCAGTATCAATGTATAAAAATAAAAGAACATATGATATTTATAATAAAAGTATGTAATGCACATGCAGAGGCATGCATGTACGCCTCTTTCTTTCTCTAAGAATTCTTGGGAGCTGTGAAAGATGACGAAAAAATATAAAACGTGTATATATAGAAGTATGTGAGATAATACAAAATGCACCTTTCTTTTAGAAGAGTCCACTTGTCATTTTCAAACTTGTACAGACACACGGGCAAGCCATCAGCAGGCCGACCTCTGCTGGTATCCAAAACATGCGTAGTGATGCTTAACTTTTCATCGTTTAGATTTACAGAGGCGCTCATCTGTCATACAAAAAGACACGAAAAACATAAATGTAGGGGAGACCGGGGCTAGTTGTGACATATTTTCTATAAAGTGTCTCAACTCTTTGATTATGTTGTTTTTATAAATGAATCTAGGCTTGCTAGATTCAGTAACTAATCGGGATTTAAATTTAATAATAATTTTATCTAACCGCTCATTAGAAATTATATAAATTAAAAAATTCTGAAAAAAGAGACATGTAACTTTTTACCCCACACCAGGGGCTGGTTGTTACATCACACGGGGTAAATTGTTACAACAAAAAAAACAAATGTAATCTCAAACTTTTTATTAAGAATAATCATGGTTTGTCTTCTTAATTCGAACAAAAATGAAATATTATTGTTTATAACAAATTACAAAAAAAGTTTAACTTCCAAGTTTAAGTCCAAGTAATAATATAGTACTTTTTAACTTTAAATAAAATTATAGTGTTATTTTAAACAAAAACTTAGGCATACAATTTTCTTTTGGTCTCTTTGCTTTATCACATTGAAATAAAAATTAAATAAAATTATGTTCTTATTTAGCGAAAAACTTAGACATATTACTTTTTTTGGTATCTTTGCTTTATCACAACAAAATAAAAATAAAAAAATAAAAATTAAGTAAAATTATGTTCTTATTTAAATAAAAATTCTTTTAAACAAAAATACAAGTAACTTTTAATCTAAACAAAAGTTATAAGCTTTATTAGAGAAACATCTTATTAAGAACCAACATAACATAAAACTTTGGCTATCAAAAAAAAAATATAATTATTTTAGAAAGACTATCAGATCTTAAAAATAAAACAGTTCAGTTATTTTAATCGGAATAATCACTATCGCAATTTAAACAAACATAGGATACTATATTTCCCTTAGCACATTTCACATGTGACCATTTTTTACAAACAATACATTGCACCCATTTTTCACCAGCTCGACTCTGATCAAATGGTTCACAACATATGAGGCAAAAATAATCATCTTCTATAGTATCTTCGTCAGATTCTTGCAATACCTTCCTCTTCACAACAATCTTTCTTTTCTTCTTAGCTGGTTCTCCTTTCTTATTTGTATTTTCTTGTTTGGTCACCTTTTTTGGCTCAGTCATTCCCTTCTTAATCACTTTAATTTTCTTTGATGTATTTTCTTTTTTCTTGTTTTGTTCCAGTGCCAATGCATCCTTCTCCGGGGTATCAGTTAAAATAGCTGATTTTCGAGTTTTTCGTGTTATCTTTTTTGTTCTAGCAGCAGCTTTTGGGTAAGGTCGAACGATCTCGGGAGCAAAGGTAGATTCAATACATTCCAAAATAGGAGATGTAGTGTCATTCAAGGAGGCAGTTTGAGTTGGCGGAGGTTGAATCTTAGTGGAATGAATTGGAGTGTTCTCTGTTGTAACTGGGGTATTTTCAATATTTGAGCTAGCCGTGCCGTCTAATTCTCTGTCAGTAACAAAAGCAGACAAGAAGTCCTCATGCGGAAAAATATCTTTATTAAATGGTGCAATACCAGTCTTTTTAAATTCGTTGATGATAGACGGGTTGCGTTTTAAAAACGCTGTCATCCAATCAACTCCTGCTTCTTTATTATTATGCCACGATTGCGGTGTAGTAACATTGTACTTAAGTGCACAAGCAAATGCTAACTGTCGGACATCTTTTGGCGTTAATCCGTAGCAAATTTGGCTACATTTCGTTAAGTAATTCACCAAAATAGTTTCTTCATTGTTGTTAAAAACTTGTCTGTTTTTCTGGTAACCGAATGTGACAGATTCCATAGGTATGCCCTTTTCCTTTGCTTTGCTTCGTTTTTTTAAGTATCTTGTAAGCGTCATATGACATAGTCCAAAATCTTTTGCGATGCCACGAACTGTTTTTGTTTTATCCTCTTCTAAGACAGCTGCTGCTTTGTCGTAGATGTCTTTAGATATTTGTCCACGCTCACTCTTTTTTTTATACTTCTTCATCCTAGAAAAATAATAAATTTATATAATTCAAGTTATACCAGTCAGCAAGAAGCACAACGGGGCAGGTTGTGACAAATCATAAATTAATTGTGGTTTGTCACAACCTGCCCCGAGAAAATGTCACTTTTAGCCCCAACACCAAAACTAACCTTAATTAAATATTAAAACACAAATATTTGTAAAGCTTATAAAAGTAAGGTTTATTGTAAACAGAAGGAATTAGAGAGTATATACCACAACATACACATTTCTGCTTATTTAGATAACAAGTGCTAGATCAATAATACTAAAAAATGAAAATGTTACAAACCTGCGTTTTTTACGGCTGCTTGTCCGGGCTTTTCTCACTTCTCACAAGAACGCCAGCGCCACTAACTCGCGCGGTATAGCTACCATTGGCACTGTAACAACCTACCCCTGTAACAACCAGCCCCAGTCTCCCCTATTGCATAAACTATAATAGAAATTCATAATTCAAGTATGAATAAATCCAATCTTCGCTTTTAACTTTGGATTTCGCTTACATTACGGGCTGGCAATAGTTTGCTTAAATAATAACTTGTGTAGTCTATTTAAAAGAAGCTAAAATTTAGATAAATATTTAGATAAATACAGTTTTTTTGTTAAACACTTTTAGATTCTGCATGTTTTAGTTAAGTTTCTTTAAAAACTATTCATTCTGTATTATATGTACATTCATATATATTTTTCGTATTATATATTACATTTTAATAACTTGACGAAACAATCTGATTTACTTCACTGTCACCGTCACCACGCCCAGTATTAGTATTCGCGTCGCGAACGTAACTGACATACCAACTGCGCTCGAATAGGTGAAGTTTCCAAGAGATTAGTCTGGATATAGATAGAACGGATTAAAGGTCAAGGAATGCAGGCAATGACTGAAAGATTGGTATTTATCTATATAGTTCACACATTCATTAGAATTTAATAAAATCGTCTCTTTAAAAAATGTACATACGTAGTTTCACATATAAATCAACATTCACAAGCGAACACGCGCAGACACACACGCACATATATACACGTACACATACACATACCAACGCAATGTTAAAGAAAAATAATTCTTAATGTGATACAAGAAAAAGCAAAATAATATACTTACATATACTTATAACCTACTAAACTAAAATATTTGTTTACAACTGTCGGTTCTTTCAAAAACTTATTTTATTATATGAATCATTATCATCATTTAGCTTCATTATCAGTAAAACGCGACATCAGATTTAGGTTATGAATTATTATACAAAATCATTGTCATCAAATTTAGCTTGTGATAAAAATAATTCTGTATCTTTTATATATCACGTAATCAATTTTCAACAGCTAACTCATTAATGCAAACACATTTTATCGCTTCTGCAAAAGCATTAAAAATATTCTTATTTTCATGTCATTTATATTATGACGAGAATTAGTATTTATAATGTAATCTAACGTAATTATGTAATATATATGTATAATTATATAATTATAATATTAATATAATTATAATTATAAATATAATTATAAATATAATTAATATAATTATAATTGTAATATTATATAATTATATAAATATAATATGTAATATACAATATCAATATAATTATACATATTATGTATGTACATTATGTATCTATACATATACATTCTTATACTTGACTTTACAATATAAAAATATCTGTTTTTAGCAATGTAATGTTCATGAAAATCGTAAGTATTTCCTCGCAACTATCTCTGTCACGAAGGAATTTATTCTATTCAATAGCACATTCTATTTATGTGCCACGATAGGTTGTATAACCAAATGGGCTCAATAAAAGAGGTATATGATAGTGACTGTTCGGGTTCTTTACGTCAAATACGATCTCGACGAACGGAAACATGGTGTCTATCCTTTTCAGCGTGAAATATTTGTCGACGTCGAAATGAATCTTATAACGGCCGATTGTACCGTTAAGCTTTTCCACCAAATCGCTACAATGACCCTCCGCATTTGTATTGCTGAAAAAAAAATTTTGTTTACCACACTTATATTTCTGTGATAATTCATACTTATTTTAATATTTTTTAGGAAGGATTACAGTAACAGCATACGAATGTTAGTCTTAAAGTTAAAAATATCTTCATTTTATTTCTTGCCTTTTCGTTTCGTACGCTATTAGAAATATATCAAAGAATATAATTGTATCAAATCAATATTTTTATAGTAAAAAAAGATTTGTCGTATTTGTGTTGAAAACAAAACTTATATAAGATTTAAAATAGTAGTGTAGAAAATTAATAAGTCTGTCGAATCAAGCTATAAAGACTATATTAAAGGAAAAATAAAGAGTAATAATAACTAGTTGAAAAATGACATACCTCTCATTCAAGAAAGTCCATTTGCCGTCCAACAGTTTATACAAGCTAACTTGCAACCCACCAATTGGAATTCCCTTGATAGTATCCACAACATATGTGGTAATGCGCAATTTTTTCGATACATGTTTTAAAGCTGACTGCTTTCCCGAAGCAATAGCCTAGAATAAATAAAGACATCAATGAGTAGTCTTATTATACTTTTAACCATTTAGAAAACGGGAAGTAGATGAAAAATTACGTAATTTTTTCTTACCTTCTTAGATGTTGATTTGACGCTAAACGATTGCTGATTGGCAATCGGTTGCTTACTGGTGCTAGGAGCAGTCGGTGATTGATTGCCAGGTACAGTTGTATCCACTTTGACTTTGTCTGGTTCGTTCATCGCAACGACCTTTTTTTGATCGGACAGCGTCAATGTCGCTGGGTTACCCTTAAGCTTGGTCAGTACGTACTGCGCGCCCGGTTGAAACGTGGCACCGCCAGTTAATGTAAATGTTTTGTTACCACACATTAGAGTGATCTTTTGAGTCTTCATATTCGCCGGCGCGATCGGCACAAAATTAATCGTATTCTGAGTCGGCGCTGTGCTTGTCGAGGTGTTTGTCTGAAAAGTATTCAGTACCGGTATCGATAAAGTCATAAACAGATTATTTTTGTCCTGCTGTTAAACAATATTTTTTATAGCTTTAGCTAACAATATACGATTTCATATACAAAAGCTAATAATTTTCGGCATAAGATTTAACTGAACGACTTAACTAAACTTAAGATTGATTTTTAGTGTCAGTTTTAAGATGTTCATATTCGTCTATTGTTCAGAAATTGCCACTTACAAGGATTTTTCCATTCTGTGTGGCTTTGATTACCGTTTTCTCATCTTCGTCTAATTTCGATGTCTTCACGTCATCGTCGTCCACCGCCTCAGATAGAACAGATATATCATCGTTAGTTGATTCTGCCACCATCTCCATCTGTACATTCTCCTGATCTTCACTGTCCTCCTCAAGATATTCGTTGTGAACGTGAGCCATCGCCTCTGCCAAAGGATCTCGACATTTTGACTGTAACTACATGATGAAAAATTATATAAAATTTGAAAAATTGACAGAAATCTCTGCTGAACAAGATTATTGCTTTCTATTGCACGTGCATAATTTGTGGAATGAATTACCTCGGACGATAATTTGAGCTTCTTTATTACAGACGTAGAATCCTCATTGGATTGATTATTATCCATCTCTTTTTCTTCTTCCTGTCCTAGGCTGATGTCCTTTACATCTTCGAATTCCATTGGTTCTTCCTCCGATTCCAGTCTTTCAACAACATATTCGATATCGTCTTCATTGTCTTCGCCTAACTCCGTTTGAGAAGAATCATCCAAAGTCTAAAGAAAAAGATTACATATATATACACAGGCACATATGTACTCCTACATACATATATCAATAAATGTAATGTACATTTAATTTAATTTAATTTGTGTACATTCAAAATTACTTTCCTAAATAACATCGTTTGGTTGATTAAGAAATACTCAGTAATCATAGAACTCTCATTTATTCTCAACAATTTTAATTAATTATGTGATTAACTTCAAATAATCATAGACTGTTAAAATGTAACAAAATTTGAAAAAGAAACCTATTATTTCACTGTATAAAGTTTTCGTTGTGTATTTTTTGTTTCTTTTGTAAATCTTATGTAAGTTATCGTATTTCTATACATAGGATGGCCTATATTTCACCTTCCTTTTTAACAACACTCAGTTTTTATGCCACAAGCCACAAAAGAATAAACTCTATTGACTGTGTTGTAACACATACGTTTTCTGAACAAATATTTCCAAAATGAAAAATAATTTAATGAATATATAGAACATCTTATATATAAGAAAATTGACGAGAAATATATGTTGACCTCGACTTCTTCCATGAGCCCCACTTCGGGTGCAACGGCTTCCGACTTCTGTACTTGTTTCTCCTCCAGCGCATACCCCAAAGCCGAGCGCTGATGTTTCATTGTGCATGTATGCTTCAGCAGCGACAAACGGTGGGCGTGCAGATTCTTCTTGCAGTACAGACAGTAAGCACGAGTCGGTTGAAATGGCACTGATGTCAACCATCCTGCACACAAAAATATTTTGGTGCTTATTCATTATCGATAGTTGGAAACCCACGTGTAGAATCATACAATAATAAATCTCTTTTCGCACTGCAAGTACCAAAGGGTGTAGGGTGGACCTCGCCTTCACAGGAAAATTGGAAACCCATGTGTAGAACTACTTTACGTTAAAAATAATCACTGTACTTTCAAGTAGAAGAAAATTAGAAGTGTGAGGTACATACAATGATCAACAAGACCAATATTTCGCTTAAATAAACCCCATCAAACTACTTGTCCAAATTATTACTGTTACTTCAATGAAAATTGCGAATTACAGATCAGATCAATCAGAACAAATTGAGATTAGTGTTCTACCTGAATGGAGAAAAGTCTCACCGTGAACACAGCGATGACAAACGCAGATTCGGTCCGATTTCCGAGCGTTACGGAAAGAAGACGACTGATGACAGAGAAGTTCGAAATCGCGAATAAATTCTGAATGGGAAATGTGCGCGCTAAGTTCTGCGAACAAAAGGCGCCTTGCCTCCCAACCTCCTAGAAATTTTTCCCGGGCGAAATTGTCTTATTGTTAGAATCGAGACTTAAAAATAATAACGAGAGAAGAGCTTCTACGCGGCAGGGAATGACTTTTCGCGCTACTTTGCCGCGTTTTGTTGCTCCTTTAAATTGATAGGAGCGTGACGAACTTGACCCTCTCGCTTGCTCTCGCTGTCAGCTGAGCGCGACGACCGGTCGGGGTGAACGCGCGCGATTGGCGCACGTGACCACGTGAGTAAAGCGCGAGTGAATTTTTTTTCGGTCTCACTAATTCCCCAACAATTAAGATTATTTTATTGGTCGAAAGAACTGATCTTTAGTTCGTGTTCTCAATCTCTGACACGTAGTCTAAAGCCCGTATCACACTGCAGATTGGGATTGGATTGAAATTTAATCAACCATAATTATAAGCCGTGATCAGACCACGGATTGGGATCGAGTTTGGATTGAAATTTGACCAATTAGAGCAAAGTTCACTAAACTTGAAGTTAGTTTCCTTTATTCTGATTGATTAAATTTCAATCCAATCTCAATCCCAATCCGTAGTCTGATCACGGCTTTATAATAAAGAAAAATAAAAACTAATTTCAAGTTTAGCGAACTTTGTTTTGTTTGATTACATTTCAGTCCTAATCTGTAATCTGATACTGGGCTTAATGAGTTCAAGTATATTTTTCAGAATCTTAAAATTGTCTTGGCGTCTATTTATGAAGGTCTATAAATATATTTATAAGTTTAACATGATTATATTATAATTTATTATATATACAATTTATATATGTTTTTATTCCAATAGTAATATTATCTAATAGTAATAGTTTAAACAATTAAATGTCATATAAGGTAGACAAATTTGCCGGTAATTTTCCAGCGCCGAAAGCTTTCGGAAATATTAGTACTGTCAAAGTTTCATCGGTGTCTTCTCAAAATTCTTTCTTGCTCTTCGAACTATCAATTCGTTACTCTTATCTTCAACGTAGTTTCCCGACGAAAGTACTTCCCGTACAATCAGTGGGATGAAAAGATTATAGATACTGCGTTTACCTTTTGATTTTCATCTACCGTTGGATCTTCTCTCATGTATTTTTTTTTAGAAAAAGATACACCTGCGTGATAAAATAATTACTCCATTACGACATTTTACAAGATTTATTTGAAACAAAAGCGGTTTACATGTTGCATACAGTTCGATAACCATAAACCAATATCAATTAACTATAAGTCACTATTTAGAAAGAAATTCCATACTGAAATTCTGCTATATTGGAATGTGAACTGCCATGTTTGTAAGAAAAAGACGTATTAATTAGGGACTATTTCTGTCTCTGTTCCGCGAATTGGTTTAATGGTTTTCTATTGTTCTCGAAAGTAAAAGCAACAGAAAAGAACCGGCCGGTTATAGTTCTCTATCCCTTTCGTCCCGTTTTCTTCTAGAATATAATTTACCGGTAAGCAACGCTTTCTATTCGTATATGACTTGCAGGAAAAAAATACCATTGAAAATCCTGGCAGCTAGTACTAGAGGTCATCTCTTTGCGGTGAGCGCTTTCCATTTACAATTAGCAAGACACGTCGACGTAAACATCGTTCTATCTCGAAATTCCAATAGATAACAAAAATAAAAACACACTTGTGTGACTTTGGCCGCGGTCCGTTTGATGCTAAAAATGCTTCGAAGCATTCCTCTCCTCTTTTCTTTCAAATGAAGAAAGAAGGATAAAAAAAACGCTCCAAAACATTTGTAGCGGTCAAGTGGACCGCAGCCTTGTGTCACTAAATGGAAAACACTCGGCGTAAATTCACAGGCGTCAGCTGGCGCCATCATAGTTGTAAATATATTAAATATTCAATTCAACGGTCTCCTCTACGACCATTCCTATTCCACTCCGAGCCTCCAGTCTCCGTGGAGTAGCTCTTTTCAAACGGAGAACGCGGCTCCAAAAACGCAGCTCCGAGTTACACCGCCCACAGAGTTTGCCAACGTGTCAGCAATAATCCTAAACAACAACGGCCATCTCCCCTTTGCGTCGCAGTGTAACGACGTCGATAAACCCAGGGAATCGATCAACGGACTAGGGTGTGCGGAGAGTTGGTTCAAGAGCGGTTTTATCCGCGAGTTTATACCCTAGAGCGCAACGTGAGAGGACCCTATATGCGGAGCCTGCTCGTGAACGGCGCGGGGTAAGGAGGGAAAGGGAGAAAGAGAGAGATGGAGCGTGCGTGCGAGCGAGCGACACGTACCTTTGAAATCCGACATCTCTTCCCATTCCTTCCGGTAGCGCTGCGTATAGACCCGGGTCTTGGCGTGGCTGATCTTCCCCGTCGGCGTGAGCCGCGGGGTCAACGACGGGCTCAGCAAGTTCCTACATATCACGGTCGGCTCGGCGGCGACGAGCGTGATGGTCTGCGACTGGCTCTCCATAGCAGGCCCGCCGAGTGGATCCCGATTCTCCAGTTCCAGTGTACGGAACCGCCGTGCACCACCGCGCCGAAGGCGCGTCTCAAAATCCCAGCGCGAAATCACTAGTTTTTTCTTCCCGCGCTGACCCGAACCCACCTGGTGCGCGTAGGGAACCCGTGGAACGCGACGAGACGACGATCTCTAGGCCTCTCTCCCGCGCCTAGTATTCTCGATTCTCGCCTAGTCCAAGTCTAACTCCCTAGCGTAATACTGCGTAATGGCGGCCGAGAGAGCTACTCCGCGTCCGCGGTGACTACGCCACTCCGCTCCACCGCTTTTACCCCCACCATGAGATGGCGGCCGAGATGGTGGCGCGTCGGCAGGGCTGTGCCTGGCGACGGTGGCCGGGGCGTCGCCCTCCAGATAGCACAAACTTATTCTATAAACATTTTATGGCCGATATTCATAGTCGTTTTATATTTTAAGACCGTCTTAAGTATTTAATATGGCTCTGTGATTGGTTAATGACATCTTAAGATCGTACTTAAGACGGTCTTAAATATAAGATTCGACTATGAATACCGGCCTATAAGTATACTTCGGCAAATATTTGAATATTCTAATATAAAGTATTCTAATAAAATATTTTAATAAAAATATTCTAATAAAGTATTTTAATAAAATATACTTTCTAATAAAATATTCCAATAAAGTAAAAAGGACGTTCTATAAAATCTTGGTCGGTATATCGATTCACCGTGGCCCTCCGCTTCAGCCCACGTCCCTGGCGGATGCGCGTGAGACGCGGTTCTTTGTCGATATGCGTAATGCGCGCGCAACCGTCAGTGACGGTGATCGTAAAGACCCGCAAACCCTCAAGGAACGCGTGGAACTTTCTAGTTCGTAAAATTGAGATATTTCCTACGTCATTGTGTACCAATTGCATTCGCGACGACGAGAAATCGGTCTCGGGAAATAATCTCCGCCTGGCGCGGTCTCGAGGTATTCGCTTGGCAGACGCCTACCGCCATCTGGAGACTTTCGAAGCTGTTTTTCGAAACGTTAACGTTTTCTCTAGCTGGAGTCTTCCTTTTTTCTTTTTCCTTTTATACTAGAAACAATCCTAGTCACAAAATCTGGAAAGTTAATAAGCATCAGTTTAAAAGCATCATTTAAAAAAAAATTGATTATTTCTTATTTCAAGCTACGTAAAATGATCTTTATATATCTAAAAAACGTTGTTGTACGTAAAGTCATTAAATTATATTATTTATGCTTCCAGTATAAATCCTGACGGAAAAATTTGTACCAAATACAATGCGTTAAAAAAAAACACACAAAATCGTACTCTATAAGTACAGATTAAATTACACTGACAATAAAATATCAATAAAAATAATACACTCGTGTCGATTGTCCACGTTTTGAGAATTGTATGTTACCATGATTTCGACTCGCAAGCAACAGAACATCTGGAAAACATGAATTTCAGCGCGAGGGGTTAAAATTTAGAAAGAACTCATTCACAAAAGAAAACTATTTATCAAGATGTCGGCAATACAACAAAGAAATTCAAAAAGTTCAAATATATCGGCTCACTACCCTTTAAACATAAATTTAATGCTGGAGAAGGTAGTGATTAATTTATTTATTTTGAGTATTAAAAGCACTGTTGTTAAGTATTTTTAATACTTAAAATAAGTAATTAATCACTACTTTCCAGTATTGAATTTCTATAAGAGCAGTAAGGAGAGAAAGAAAATAAACATACATAAAAACAGATAACTTTGCCGTATAATTTCGCAACTACTATTCTTCTTCTTAATTGTATATTATATAAATAAGAAAACAAGATAAATATATAATATTCCATTTATACACTTAATACTATTACTTTTGTTAACATTTAATTGCCCTGGTAAAAATATTTTCTCAGAAATTTTGTAAGAATTGAAACTTATGAAAAATTCTGAAAAAATACATATAATTTCTCAGGTACTTTCAGAAATAATTGTACGAGGATTTTTGGACTATGGTAATATTCGTATGCATGAAAATTTCTGATAAATTGCACATATTTTTATTTCTTCTATTTATTCAGATTTTTACAAAAATATATTAGCAAAAAATTTTTAAATATTTTATTACTTTGTCTCAGATTTCTCAAAAACGTTTCAATTTGTATAAAAATTCCGAGCAGTCTGAGAAAATCTTAAAATTTATATAGAAATGCTGAGACATTTATCTATCAGAGTATCCAAATTCCAATTTAAATGAAAGACACGTCGGCTCTCTACTTTGAAGATCATATTACATCGTTTATAATTTCATCTTAAATTTTTCTCTCTTTATTCCATTAAAAATTCCATTTCTTCCTCGAACATTTTATCAATTTTCCTCAATATTTTGACAATGTATTGCTTTGTACGTACATACAATACAAATCTCTCAATATTTAACCGTTCGGCCGTCCTTTCGTCATGGCCTTGTGTCTTACACATCCCTCATTCAAGCATGGGTCCATGGTCGCTGTTGCGGGGGAGACGCAGGTAGAAAATGCCTACCGCGTGGTCCAGTGTCCAGTGCGGTTGGGATTTAAAAACACACTCAGCAAATCACGTCGCAGATAGTATCCGACCGGCGAACGGGACGGACGGAGGCAGTAGGCATACCTGAGGGACTATAAGGACAACGCACTGGGGCGAACGTTAAGTGAAAGCACAGTTTAAATGCAGTCGCCACGCTACACGCTTCTCCCGAAAGTTTTCGATCGCGATATTCCTGGTACGTAACAGCAATTGCGTTTCAATAACATCAATTAATATTGCGCACAATTATATTAATCCCAAAATCACGATTTTTCAGAAAATAGATCCACAATATTCGATTCTTTTACCGTTTGATTCTCTTCGCTTCCAGAATGTACGCCAGGACGTTTTTCAAAGAACAAAGCACAAATTTTGATTATTGTGGTAATTTCTTGGATTTCTGGCATCCTTTTCGTGGATCTGTTATAATTGGATAGGTAAAGAGTCACGTTGGTATTTTGATACAGTAATTTTCTTTCATATTTAGACGTAAGTATATTAACTTTAAACATTTTAGAGTTAATATAATTTAAAAGTCTGTTGTTTAATCACAACAATTTCAATAATTATTACGATTATTAGTGAATTTAAATATATATATATATATATATTAATTTAATAATTAATAATATTAAAATAATATTAATTTAATGATATCAAATTATAATAAAAGAATCATGTAAATATTTGAAAATAACAATTGCAAACAATTGTTTATTCAAACAGCCGTTTATCATCGTACTGATATGTCCGTTTGCAATTAACATTATTGCAGATTTATAATTTTTATTTGTGACGTGCATTTTTAATCAATATCTAATATCTGTATATTCTTTGCAGAAATGAGCGTTTGACATAACAAATTTCGACGGGGTCTTATTCCGGGAGAGATTAAGAGATTAATTGGATAAGAGATCTTATTCTCTTAATCTAATGGAAGGGTCCAAAGAGATATTGACGATGTCGGCCATGAATCCAATCCTGTACAGAGTCGAGACGTACATCCTGCCCGAGGCGGAGAATTTGGAGGTGATTAATCAGATCCAAAATCGGGAGATCGCGAAACAGTTTAATACTAACAAGAGCGAAAACACATCCGGGAATAACACGGAATGCGAGAAAGATGCGTTGCTCGCTTCGTACAACAAACGCGAGGAATTCGCGCGGTTCTCCGCCGAGAACGGTAAATTGATCGGTTTAATAAAAATCGTGAAAGGCACAACGAACGAGACTGAGACGCCACTCGACGAACGTTACGACGACGACATCGTTAAACATTATAAAAATGATCGTTCTTGTTGTTCTAAGGAGCACCTGTCTGTACAAAAAACGGAGTATCAATCGTCGGTTGGACCGGAGGAGTCGTTGTATCCTGTGAGATATTTCAGACGGATCAACAGCTTGATATCGATCGACGAGAGAAGCGAAAACTCTTTGGACACCAAGGTGAGCGATTACTGTCGTCACGGTTACAAGAACGGCTGCACCTCGTCGGTTTCATCGCCCGAGGAAATCAGCGATGAGATCTTTAAAGGGAATTGGCTGCAGAAAATCGAGGTCCTGAAAGATCGCGAGACCATGCTGCGAGAGAGGGAGATGAATCTGCAAAAGAGAGAAAGGGAGCTGTTTAGGAAAGAGAAGAAGCTGAGGATCGCGGAGAGAATACTTAATGATAAAATGAGACAAGTGGACGAGCTGTTAAAACTGCAAATAAACCCGCTGGTGGATAGAAGGCTGGAGGAAGCGGCACGAATTTTATCCGATATCGAGAAATCCGGCGATAATCTTTCGGAATACAAAATTCCAAAGAAAGATGTCACGAGGAAAGAAGATATCTCGAAAAAGGAAGAAATTCCAGAGAAAGAAGATATTTCGAAAAAGGAAGAAATTCCAAGGAAAGATGTCACGAGGAACGAATATATCTCGAAAAAGGAAGAAATTCCAAAGAAAGAAGATATTTCGAAAAAGGGAGAAATTCCAAGGAAAGATGTCACGAAGAAAGAAGATATTTTGAAAAGGGAAGAGGTTGCGAGGAAAGAAGAGGTTCCGAGAAAAGTGGAGATTCCGAGAAGAGTGGAGATCCCAAAAAATCCTCAAGTTAATCCCATCTTCGACCAAAGGCACAGGAGGGAAGAATCTAATAAAAAAACAATACATCCGATGCGTTCAAATTCGTCATCGAGGAAATCCTCTGTTTCGAGGACTCATTCGTATGCTTCCGTAAGGTACAGAGAACGACCTAGGATGAATTACGACGACTTAAACTCAACGTTGTCAGCCGCCAGCCAAGATTCACCCAAATTACGAACGTCGCAGTGGTTTGATCCGGCGCTTTACCAGAAGCCGCATGTATTCCAGAGGTCGGCGAGCGAGCGACACCCCAGGCACAAGGATACCACGGGCAATACCATGGGCAAGCTGCAAAAAGTAGTCGAGGAGAGACTCGATCCCGTGATCGAAGAGGAGAAAATCTTTCGGAAAGTCAGTGACAATATATGCGCTTTGCAGAAGAACGAAGCGGGGTTCCAGAATTACGGACTCGTGGATCGCATTCCGAGCATCCCATCGAGCAAGACGGAACGTAGTTGTGACAACGAAAACAGGTTGTCCTCGTATCTCGATCTAGAAATCGGCAGCAAGAGACATAGCCGTCAAAATCTGTCCAGCGCTTCCAAGGATAGGCCGGTCTCCTGGACCAGCGAAACGAACGAGGAGCTGCAAAAGAAACGCCAAGCGTATGATTCGATGACCAAGCAATCGGCAGAGACCAAACAATCGACTGAGAACAAGGAGAACGTCGCGTGCCATACGACGAATAAAATTCAGAAGAAGAAGTCGAAAAAATTCTTCCTATTTCGTTAACACGTTAGTACTATTAATAATACAATAGTGTCTAAAACGAAAATCTGATAACTTGAGGAATAGTTTTATATATTATTTCGAGTTTACAAGGATTTCTGGACACTCGTGACGATCTCAGTTTAACACTGCGCGGACACCGTGGGCCTTTTAAGGCACAGTCGATTTTTCGTATTTTACAGTTTTCTCCTGACATTTCAACGCTAATAAAAAATTTCAAAAATTGTTCCAGCCTTATATAAAAGTATAGAAATCACACTTTTTGAAATTTTAAAGATGATACATGAATTTTTATATATTGTTTGCAACATAGAAACGCTTTCAAAAACTCTTTGGACTTAAAAGTTCCAGGGTGTCCAAGTAAGTGCTCCAAAATCACGGTGTCCGCGCAGTGTTAATATAAATATCAATTTAATGCGATTTGTACAGCTGTAAATTTGTGTATACATATATCGAATTCGTTACGTTAGCAAGGTAATTTCGTATTTACTGTCTGTTCATTAGGAAATCGCATTCATAGCGACCGCTGAGTGACAGCGATACACGTTGCAACTTGTATATATGTATATATGCGTCAAATTATATCGCATCGTTACCAATAAAGACACAGATTATATCTTCTTAAACATAATATATTCTTAAACACCTTGCGTCATTTAATTTAAACTACACGTGTGTATTAGTGAGATATATCGACTCCTGTGCTTCTCATTCAAACATTTATTTGTATAACTTACACAAGGACTAACTGATTCTGCGACTTCTTAAGATTTAACGATGTATAACATAGGGATAGCTAGTACGGCCAGGAAGGTGGTTCCCCAGGCTTTAACTCTCTGCCGTACAACGCCGACTTGTCCCTGAACATCGTCATCCTCTCCGTCTCCAACTTTTCCAACTTATGGCCGATCATCCAGCCCGTGATGGGGAAGATCAGCGTCCAGTACAGCTTGTAGATGTGCTTGTGCGCCAACCAGTGCTTCTGGAGGGCGCCCATGCTTCCGACGGTCTCACTTGTCCTGCTGCTGCTCGGCGAGTTGGCGCTTCCAGCGAGCGGTGTGCCTCAGGTCCGCGTAAATCGCGAGCACCGTGAACGTGGGGAATAATATGCAGAACAGGTTCCGCTTGATCGTGATCCTGATGCTCTTGAAACTGGCAGACTCCATCAAACTGGAAAATTCGACAAGATATCCGTGAGTGTCCTACCGTCAGGTGAAAATTCCACTTGAGAGAGACCAAGTGGCCCGTACGGGTGGACTTTGCTTTCTATCCGGTGCCATATAATCCCGAAGAAGAAGAAGAGAAAGATCAAGAAAGGAGCTAAGTCGCGTCCTTTTAAAACGCCGCGATGAAGTTTTGCGAAGTAACACGGTCAGGCTGGCGAAACTTTGGGTGGCAAAAATAAAGCGAACAAGCCGAAATAAACGGGAATCGCTTACAGTTTACAAGCCGCATCGGTCAGCCGACCTCGCCAGCTCTCGGAGGTTAGAATCACTTCGTTTGTTATGTAACGTACGTCACGCGAATCGAGAATTCGAGCGACGTCGTGCTCGTCGCTCCTTCGTTCCTTCTGTCACTCCGCTCGCGAGGGGCGCCGATTCGAATCCCCGTGAAATCCCGAGTGAAACGAAACCGACGTGGGGAACGTCCCGACAGTTGCGGAGGAAGGAGAAAAAACGAGAAAGAAGGAAAACGCGTTTACCTTCGCGGCGCGATCGATCGCTCGAGGCTCTCGACCGACTCGACCCGGTGTTCCCGGTCGTTAGAGGTTAGGAATAGACAGCTACTAGTGCGAGTGGTGGGAGAGCTCGAAGCAATCGGCAAGGTAGAGGAGGAGAGATAGATATAAGGCTCTCGGAGGTTTCAGCCGCTTCAATTGTTTAAAGACACGCACGAGGACTTGGATGACCTCAACTCTTATTTGTGGATAACCGAGTGCTGAAGTGGCGAGGGTAAAATTTTGAAGGTGCGGCGGAAAGAGACGGTTCCATAATTGTCGATTAACGCCGGGACGTAACCTTTTTAACTTCTGTTCTGATTGCAGCGATCAACCTTGCGACAGGCTTCGACGTCTTCGATGGAGAGATAATCTCCCCCGGGCGCTTATCTGCTTGTCGACGTCAGGGCTGGACTTGACCTTGCACCCGGAGTGCAAAGAACATTGCAGGTAGACGAGCATCACGAGCGTGATGCCGGTGAGAGGGACCCTCGACGACTTGTGATCGAAGACAAATGGGAATATATCACGGCGACGTTGATCCCGATTGGCTTTAAAGTCCCGTCGACGGCTGTCTTTTGCCGGTTTAGGAGCGAGGGGGAGTTTCGCGAGAGGAATTTAGCCTGTGATATCAACTTGTGACCTTAAACAATGAGACCTGGTATGTCTCTACGAGATGAGAATACTTTGTTGTGGGAATAAGCTTCTATTGATTTTACGTTTTCCACAGAGAAGAGGAGGTCTAGAAACATCCCTGCAAAGTCGAAAGAAACGGAGATTCTGTGGTCGGACATAGCCGGTCGCATTTTAATAAATGCGATTTCCTATCCTGTCGAGTACGCAAAGGTTCTGATACAGGTAAAGACAGGTGTTTGATACTAATGGAATTCTCATGTAAAACGGCGCACGATCTGTCGAGACAAAATGTTATCGAAAGAAAACGGGTATATATTTATGTCTTATTGCACAGATCGGACATGAACCTATTCCACCGAAACCAACTGTAACGTTGTTCGGAAAGCCAGCGCTAAAACTACCTAATGCCTTCACGTATAGTAAGTCTAGCTTTAATTTAAAATCCGAGAAGTATTTCTGTATTTGATTTTCTAGATTAAAAAAGAGATTGGTCAATTTATATTGCACGTAATTATTTATATTACGTTACGTTGAGTAAACAATCTACAATCCTCTATACAACCTACAGAAGATTGTTTTGACTTTTTCTACTTGAAATCATATTGCTTTATTATTATTTTGTTTTACATACTACATTATTTTTTGCAGTTAAACACATAAAGAGCGTAGATGGCTTCATTGGCTGCTACAGAGGCTTAGTGCCCAAGGTATGTTCCTACACAGTTAGCACAATAGCGTGTGACAAAACTTTGGAGTATCTCCAGCCTAATGGAGCGGCGGAGCAGAACGAAGATGAAGACGACGAGGACGAGAGCGTGAGGTGTGTATTGAGGGAAGGAAGGAAAAATGTGAACAGCAAATGTATAATTTCTCACGTTTACAGACGTAAAAAATGCATAAACGAGATCGTCATGGATGTAATCAGTAGAACAGTCGCGATTGTAGTTAGCCATCCTTTGGAAGTCATTTCGTTAAGGATGATGGCGCAATTTGTAGGCGGAGAAACAAAATATAGGTATTATAAATATGTAGCATAAATATCCTAGATGTTTGGAGAAAAAAGAACGAATCTGTCTCAATTAAAATGTATGTCATCTAGCAAGAAAAGAGAAGTAATGCTGAGAAATTTTTTAATAATTTGTTAAAAGAACTTTTTTGCGTTTATTACTTAAAAAAATAAAAGAAAAGATTTGTGTACACATCGCACTCTTCTTTGTCAGATTTAAAGAGACAGTTTTGAATGTAGTTTTTTTTTTATTTGTTAAATTTGCGTTCTTCTCCAGGCTGATCATTTGTCGTCATAACAAAATTTACTTATTATTATTTATTCTCACAATTAGTAGTCTATTCGGCTCGTTCCTGGAGATCTACAGGGAGAACGGGATCCTAGGATATTACGCAGGACTGATACCACGTGTTATAGGAAATGCCGCAGTCATAGTTCTAACTGGCATCTCCACATACGCCATAAATAATTATGTTCTACAGGAGCCGGCGATGAAACCATACACTGCATCGACCATGAAAGTAAGCGCAAGTTCAATATGTTTTTTAAAAAAATGTGCTCTGATACGTATTTACACAATGTATCTCAGAACTAATGCATTAAATATTTCGTGCATAAGGTTCAGACGCACTTTTTAAAACAAAATATTATTAAAGTTTGTAGCTACGACTGTTACGTACCCGTTCCTAGTGGTGTCGCACTGCATGGCAGTAAATGATTGTGGGTAAGTAGAATCTCATGTTCAACATTTTAGATGACATAATTTTTACTTTTTGTATCTTATGACAAAATATATTTCCACCGCATAACTAAAAATAATAGATATAATTATTTTAGAAATATTAAACATTATATATGCAGTTTTATATTTTAAAAATAACCATTCAAAATTGAGTGAGATCAATCGAATTAAGAATCTCTGACATTTCGCGGAAATATTAATACGTTCATTAAAATTCTGTTCAAGGTTGGTAGCCGGTCTTCCACCGCACATGCCGATCTACAAGAACTGGCTGCATTGCTGGTCCCATCTGTCAGCTCACAACCAGCTAAAGAGAGGCAGCAGCCTGTTATGGCGTTACTACACCGGGCCGCAAATGCTGCTGAACGGCAAGCTGATACCGATCATGGGCGATCATTTTTATCAGCCCAGCTCTTAATGAGAGCTTCAAGTAAGACAAGTCTGTTACAAGCCAAATAAGCCTGTTATAAAACCAAATGAGTCGACCAATAGTCGTGTCCATTTGACGTTTTATTTATACAGTGTACACATATAGCCATATAAAAAGGAAAAGGAAAATGAAAGTTCGGTTCGGTTGCAACGAATTTCTATAGGATCATACAAGAATTCTGCGCACTGAACATCCTTATAAGATCAAGTCGTTATCAATAAAAATAATAAAAAAGAAGGCAAATCAAGTAAGATCGATTGAGATGATTGCAGTTAGAAAGTAACTAAAAAAATTAACAATCATTAGATAAATCGTCCTTAATGCGCATTTATAATGACTTCGAGACGTCATTTCTTAGCCATTTTATGATAATTAATTTTAATCTAATTTTTGAGAAAGTAACGTCATATCCGCCTACAGTCATCTCGATCGATCCTATAATTTTCAGATCAGATATGCAACAGTACTTGTAAATAAAAATAAATAAATTGGAAAACACCGCATAGTTGCACAATAAAAAGTAATGCTGGAAGAAGCGAGATTGTATTTTTGCTATGTTGACAATTAGACTTTATTGTTTCGACAATTAATCGACTTAGTGCGGCCCCCCCTCCCCCCCTCCCCTCTCGATAATTGATAAGATTTCGATGAGTATTGCATTCGTCGGATTATAAACATCGTCCTATATATATGTATATGTATATATGTATACTGTCCTATAAGGAAAACAGCAGAAAAATAACGCGCGAGAGCCTAAGCTACATCTCCCGTCATTAACACGTATAAAAAAAATATTGACTCGCGCTAATAGTGTCTTAAAAGTGTTTGTACACACTTGTTCTTCCTCAGGCATTACGTTAGGACTATATTCCGCCTGTACAAAAGTAGCCAGTCGAATGTGAATAATGAACAAAGAATATATACAGCGCGTCTCATAACGTTACTCATGCCGTATCAAACTTTAACGATAAATTTGGCATTTGATGAGAGATCGATTCGAAATTTAATGAAATTGCTCACCGAGTTGACGCCGAAAATTACGCGGATTTTTTTTTTTTTTTTTTGCAGATGTAAAATGCAATTGACATTAATTTTTCTATTGTATTTCGCCAAATTCTCAGATATTTGCAAGAAAGCTCTGTTAAGAAGCAGAGAATAACTTCTGGACATGCTGTATTTATGTATAATTATAAAAAAAATTCATGCGCACTTAAATTATTTCTAATTAAATCTATTGAAGCGGGGACTCTCGAAATTACTCCTAGATTCGAGTAAAGTAACAAATGTTCGCATTTGTGACCTAATAATAAAGTGATTGCTTTTACTCTTCTCGCACCGGTTAAATTACTTTATCGTATTTATATACCTATCGAAATTTATCGTCTCGCTCACGATCGGATAAATGCAGTGATAATTGGTCGTCGCTTCGGAGAATTGCCTCTTAAGAACTAAATTATACTTGGATAACGCGAAATGAATAATATCGTTGCATCATGACAGAGATCAACGCGTATTTCGCCGGTATCTTTCGTACCTTGACGCCAGTTATCAAATTTATTTATACAACTCTACCAGATAAGATGTAATTAATGAGAAACGCGTGTTGTGTTCGAGATTTGTAACTACATGCTATAGGCATTATCAGCATTGTCGGTCACAGACTCTGATCTACCAGTGTATAACAATTCTCGTACGCTTTTGTAAGGTCTCTTGCTTAATACATTTTTCTTCCTAGTGACTCGGTTGACTATATCGAGTTTGATTTTCTCAAGCAGGTTACATGAACGCGTTGCAACACCGATCAGCGCTATATCTAACTTCTGTTTAACATTTTTCTCACTAGTTCTTTATTAATTGCATTATTTATGTCATGCCTGGCAAGATATTGCATTATTTTACACATCTCAACAAAAGCTTAGTCTCTACGAGACAGTCTAACTTGAAGAAAAAAAAACAATAAACGAAAACTGTATTTGAATTAATCTGAGGCGTAATGTTTCGCTGTCGCGCCACTCGAGAAATCTTTTTCTCGCTGAACTAATCGAAAGTAAGGCCATCGTTGTTACAACTGTTCCGAATCGCGTCAAAAATAATCGGAGAGGAACTTATGATAGATTATTTTAATTCTATCAACCTGTTATTGCGTAACACGATAAAGATCCGGACGATCAACATTTAATATTTATTTAATCAACATCGCTTTTCTTACGCTATTATTATTAGGTATAACAATCGATTGTTTGCCGAGTCCGCGTTTACGCATGGGGATAACTATTTTTTTTTTTTTTAGGCTCTCTATCCGCAAGGCTATATACATCGAGGAATACGGCGCGCGTTTTCGGGAATGTTGGCGAAATCGAAAGCAAGGGGCACACATCCAAATGCGATGCTTACAATCAAATAATACAAATGCTTTCGGTGGAGCACAAATCGAAAACTGTTCAGTATTCACATTCTACGACACGAGGAGCTTGACCTCGACTACATTTGAGGAGTTTTATTCGCTTTTTGACATAAAATCCTTTCTTCCATTTCGTTCTTTAAATATGTAAATATTATGCGTATGTACAAAAGTATCTTTCTTACAACATACGGGAATAATTGCGAGAAAAGAAAATGAGAAGATGAAAGAGAGAACAAACTTAAAGTAAAGAGATATTACCAAGGCAGCATAATACTTAATAGTATGAGTAGGTTTTTTTCTCTCGAGGCAGATACAATTGGCTCGTGAGCGCATAAATAAGCAATACATTTTCCCATCACTGAGAAGTGTGCTAATAAATTCGTTTACCAGCTTACGGTTGCCCGTAAGATAAATCGTCATCGACGAAGTTTTAATCTATAAATTTAACGGAAACAAAACGAAATCACTGTGGCGTGATCTTGACCAGAAATTTTAGTAGCGAAACGCATCACATCCAGAGACAAATCTATTTTTTCTTATGTAGCTACGTTACAAAATTTCGGTTATATTAGAGCTTAACGAGATTTATATCTATCGATTATGTATCTATCTAACGGAACTCAATTCTTTACAATATATAGTTAGTAAAAAAATGAATTTGCCTCTAGGTACATCTTTGTTTTATATACAGCGGGATCTTCTACGCCTTAATTCTTAATAACGATTCAATATACTGTGGTAGCGTTCTTTTGTCCTCGTAGGACCAAAAACGAAATAACTGCAAATAAAACTGCGTGATAAATATAAGAGAGAACCGTGGACGTAATACGAATAAACGAAGCATTGTCCATCTCTCCCTAAAAGAACATTATGCCAACGAATGGTGAAAAGTGCGATAAAAATATATGGACAGGAAATATATGGACGTTCTGTTTGTCTTTACGTGTAAATTGTTTGACAACGAGATCGGGCAAGCTATGCATCATTGATCATAGACATGATAATATTGATAGCATTAAGAAAATGCCACGACAATGTACGCGATTATATGCCGATCAGTACATTTTTTTTCATAAATAGGTATTTATTACTATCAATTTAATTGAAATATAGCGGTACGATTGCATTCGGAACATCAACATTGAAAACAAATATGTGAACTCTGTCATTTTTACTATATAACGATTGTAAAGAGTAAGGCAAATAATAGAATTATTATTTCGCTTAAAATTGTGATATTGTACGAAGAACTGAAGAGACTTCTCTTCGCTATACTTTCTGTTCTGTCGCACTCCGATCATTCGTCGACATCAGTTCAGGAATGCATTGCTTCATCTATTTCTGCTGTGTCTATGGAAAGATACTATATATAACGCACTCATGAAACGTAAATTAGGCCAAAATGCAGCGACAACATTTCGTTCATTTATCGATCTTGATAAATTGAAGTATTATAAGTTCCGTCCCGCTTAACATTTCTTAAATTGAAACATTTATATCTTCAATCTCTTTGAACCTCCGTAAGTTGTGGAATGTAATTGTCGATTTTTTTTTTTATAGATCCTCTCTAAAATTGAGATACAATTGATCTTGCAACTTTACAACATTTTTAAATTGAAATGCAATTTATAAGAATAACGAATATCAAAGATTATATCGTAGTTAATAAGTATTTAAGATTACGTTCTAGAAACGGGGTACATCGTTAATTTTTCTCTCACTTCTAAATCTTAATTCATCAATTGACGCTTTCTATATAAAGAGATCTCTTGAGATTTAACACAATAGCTTTCGTATTTGTCATTGTTCCTTCTGTCACATACGCGCAGAATGTTGCAGGATATAACAGGGTGTGCCAGAAGTCGCGAATTTTTCTCTTGAAAAATACCTCAGTCATATACTCAAGACTCATGCAAATGTTTTATCTTATTAAATCTTCGACATATATATTTAAGAGATTCGTGTCAGCTTTCCAAGAGAGGTAAAAGAAAATATGTTAAATACACGCTAAGAATTAGAATTTTAAAAATACTAATTATATTTGGCGACACTAATATCCAATATCCGATCAACCACTTAAAAAGAAAAAGAGCGGTATTTCTTTTGAACAGATGACTTTAATGTCATGGCATTGCCTTTTTCTCTTGGCCGGGAACGCGCGACTTCCAGGACGCCAAAACTATCGTACGTACATCAACGGCCATTTACGACTTCACGTTCGCGTGTAGCTCGCTCGACTCACTCTACTTCAAATCCAGCTCTACTTCCGGACTCTCGAGCGTGAACGGCTTCAGGTTTTCGACGATGGGCGTCTGATCTGGATCGACGCGGATGCGGATCTTGTTGGTGTCCAAAGAGCGGGGCAGTGTGCGCGGCAGGTCGTCCTTATAGGAGGCCACCGCCGACGACGTGTACGTGGGCGACGTGTACGGCACGTAGATTCGCACCACGTCCGGGCTGGGCTGATGCGGCGTCGCCCGCGGCGTCGGCAGGCCGCCGCTGCCCGAGCTCGCGTTCGAGATATTGCTCTGGGTGTCCAGGCTGTTGTCCAGGGCCTGGGAACGTGTCGCCGAGCTGAACACCGACAAATCGGCTGTCGACGTCACCGACGTCTCGGCTAACGACCGACGAGAGCCGGGGGACGCGTTCTCGTCGAGACTTGGATCGAAGGAGAATTTGCTTCCTGCGAACACAGAGTCTTCCTTAGAGATTAAAAATTGCGATTGGAATATATCGACAGACCGATTCACGTTCATATGGAAATTTATATTAGCAGTAAGGTGGCGAGATTTTTATTTATTGTACAATCAGTCAATACGAATAAATATCAACTTTTTGAATAATTTAATCTTTAGAGCAGCGTTATTGAATATGATGCAAAGCACTGGTGAAAGATGAAAGTTATTAAGGATTGCATTCCATGAGGATGCTTCACGGTAACTTAATGATTGTACACAATAAGGCTTTTATTTATTCATATAATGTACGCCGGATATTAACATAAAATTGACTTAATAATGAAATCGATTAGGACGAATAATATTAAATGTGTTAGAAGTGGTTCTATAATAATGTAGGATCTTTTGATTCGCATGCATGGATAGAGTGTGCTGTGTTAAATCATACAAGACTTGGCTTTGTTAATTTTGACACGTTTATTAAGCATAAACATATACGAAAAGATGAAAAGAATATTCATAAGAGGTTTATCATCAATAAATTATCTTCTGAGTGTGCAGCGCATCCCTGAAACGCATCTGTGTGAAATATAAATTTTTAATTTAATTAATATATATTATATTTTAATATCTCTTCCCAACTACTTTTCACGTGATCTGAAGCAACAGCGCATAGATTAACATACCGCCTATGATACTTAATATTATAGAAAAATATCCTATTAATACTTCCGATACCCTTCCTATAGATATACCCTTCCTATACAGAACTGTTGTATATAAATTATTTTGTACGATTATGTGCTATCTTACAAAACATACTTTTTACGCTTTAATATCGTAGTAGTTTCTTCTAAAAAAAAAAAAAACGGCTCTCTACAAACTATATATTCGAGACTTATTATTCTTGTAAGATCTTATTGAGCAAAAGTTTGTTCGCGCCGCGGTATTCGTCACGACGAAGCACCGTTCCGCTCACAGTCTAGTGTTGTAGATAACCGTTATCCGGACGTTTGAATCGGCGTCATCCTCGTCCTCGGACTCGCTGCCGTGCTCGAGGCGCGAGGTACTGTCTGTGCTATTACCGTGTAACGTGTCGCGGCTATCTCTAAACTCACCGCCAAGGCCACTGGTCGGTTCGACAGGCGTCGTACTCTCCCTGCCGTCGTCGATCAGTGCCATGTCCCTGCGCTGCGCCACGGACTCTCGCATTACATGCTGAGCCTCGCTAAACTCTTCGCTTCGTCTCCCAACCTAACGAATGTAACGAGCATACCATCACAACATAGTCAAATCATCGAAACATTATATTCGTGATGGATATTTTTTCTGTTACACAATTATTTCTCGATCCCAAACTCATAACATTTACTGTAAAAAAAATAGCTGCATTGTAATGTGATACGTTAAAATATAATATCAATAATGTGTTTTAATGCGATATTTCTCGTTGAATTTTTCTGAAAAAATAACGGAAAAATAACGGAACGCGCAGTTATTGATTAGATTTAAATAAAACTCTTATGGAATGTCCTACTTTAAAGGAAGTAATATTTAATTTACTAGGTGAATGAAGTACGTTCGAATTAATAAATGTTGCCTCTATATATCTATCTACAAAACATACATGCATACACACATATATATGTTAGGATTTTAATTATGATATTCAATAAAAAAAAAAACGCTTGCGAGATTTTATCTGCGCCCCATGGCCCTTCACATGGTTTGCTACCGCATCTATTGTGTCTCTGTTGCCAAAAGCACATTTTTTATATTTATCTGCCGATAAAGAGCCAAAAGATTGTGTTCTGGCAATACCTTGTTGGTAAAAGTAGGCTCCTGGAAAGTGCCAAACGGGTAACGGGGAAGTTCGTGCGGCAACGGGGCACCCGGGTAATCTAATTTGGCACGCTTTAACTCTTCCATACTGCGCTCCATCGCGCTTATCACGGCGTCATCATCGAAGCAAAAATCCTTCTCCAGCTTAATCTGCAGATAGTTGCAGAATTCGTCGAGGCTCTCCATCGGGATCAGATAGCGCTTATGCAGTTTCATCACGGTATACGCCATTGCCGGCAAAATACGGTCACCATCCAACAGAAATATGTCCCAAATACGAAGACCGAGACTAACGGGAGTCTGCAAAGTGCAGATAAATATTGCCAATATTTCATATTACATTCACTAATATTATACAATGTACACAGCTTTACGTATATGTGACAAAAATTCTTTAATAGGCTTTTAATAAACTATACTCAACACATGAAATTTTTAGTAAAAACTATTTGGATCAGTTTGTTGTGAATTTAGAAATTGTTATCTGAAGCAGTATATCACACAGTAGAAAGTTAAATACTGAGAAAGCATCATGAACAATTTTATAGGCAAAACGAAGGATTAAAAAAAGAAAAGGAATGGTAATGGGATAGCACAAATCTAAAAAAAAGGATAGAAGAAAACCTACTCTTTCCTGAAAGACAACAAAGAACCACTTCAACGCATAAAGTATGGAATCGCAGCCACATTTGTCCATCTTCCTTTTCAGTTTCGGCAAAAATTTGTTCATTATCTTGTCATGGTGCTCTATGAAGCGGTTTAATTTTGGAAATCCATCGACGTAAAAGCCTGTAAAGCGTATTGTACATAGAAAAACTTCAATATACTGTTAAATGCCAGTACCGTCCAGAGCTTCGTAAATATGATTGACCTTTAACATTTAAAGACTACATTGTGCTGTTTTTTTTCCCATTTATATGATCATTTTATGCAAAAACTCACATCACAAATAGATTTTTTTCCAATGATGAGTTTTTGTTCCTACCGTTTAGCCATATTCAGGAATCTATGGACGATAACTTAATTCTTCTGACATTAATATTTTTTAAAGAGAACACACTATGTCATTTAGAAAAATTTATCTTATTTTAATATGGAAAAAGGAATCCAACCGTGCATGCTGTATTTTTGATCGGCAAGTAACACAGAAAGGCCCCAGAAAGCGTCTTCCTCGTCCATGTAAAGCAACAGCAGACCGGCTAATACGGACATTCCTTGGCAATATCCTACCTCCATGTTGTACATACTGTAGGCGGCCAGTACGTAAAACATGGACTTTTGTTTTATGCTATATCTCTCTCTGAAAAGACCATCGTCAGGTTTTTCAATTTCTTTTCAGATACACGCCTCGGTAACGAGGCAACGAAAACGTATTATTTCTGTCAATGTCGCACCTATAGTTAATATGATCTCTGTATTGTCTGGCGACGTCGGCATCGATCTGCCGTATCTCCGTGGACCACTGGCGAGCCAACTGCAGCATCTCCTCGTACTTGCCCGCCTGCTCCTTCTTCAGGGTCTTTATGCCTAGAAGTAGGGTCCATACTTGACCGCGAAATCTGTTAGGAATCCCTTTGTATATTCTACGGCGCAGTTTCTCCTTGGTCGAGGCACTGTCCCACTGCTTCGTCATCTTCTCCCATTTCTTCAGTCTCTCCATCTCCACATGGTGTAACTTGACCTGATACGAATCCGGCTTCTGTGGTAATCTCTTATCGCTGCAACAAGAGAAACCTAGTTATCTTGGACGACTAAACACAAGATTATACTTTGTATACAATCATAAAACTTTCAATGCGTACTGTATGAATCCATATCTATCCGTAGTGTGATAAACCTCGTAGGCGGGATCCTCCCAGGGATCAATCTCGGCGCCCTCCCGTCCGCGATCATAGCAACTGAAAATCCTATCGCGCTCTGCGGCAGACCGTTTCAACAATTCTTCCTCATTCATCCCACGTGACGGTGCGCGGCCAGACTCTTACAAGCATGCCGTTTCGTTAATGAACCTCTCTACCAGCGTCCAGCCAAGCAGCTTCATCTGTGAGGGAGAGAAAGATATCGCTGTAGAAGAGTCATCACATAAGCCAATGAAACTCCGCCACCGGTGCTCAGACTGGACTCTTATCAACAACGCGTAGCCAGGATCGTGTTTACGTGTACAGGTTTCTATCAGATATCGTCAGGTTGTCTGTTAAAAAGCTTGCCCCGGGGACCAAGTGGCACAAGTGGCGCGAGACAGGAATGCGTGATGATGCGGGATTACGTGTATCTCCTCGGCGTCCGCGCCGCCCGGAACGTAACAGATTTCGCCGTTAAAACGTCACATCGGCGACCACGCACGACTGATGGGCCCGTCGCGGTTAAGCTCGACGCGCGACTACCGGGTGGCCGGGCAGGCGCGAAATGGAGCTGTCCGGTTTCTCGCTGGCCAGGAGGTGCAGACGGTGCACGCGACACATTTGAACTCCTCGGGCCGCTCGCCTCTCTGCTCCTCCTCGACGAAGACACCAGCGGCGGCTAACCCCCCCTTCTACGACGCGATACCAGCCGTAGCGCGCTCTCGCGGCATAGGTTATGTTAGGTTAGGTTCACGATTGAAAACGATGAAAGCCGCCGATAATCGGCCGCTGAAACGGAAAGCGGCGGAAAAGAAAGTTGCGGGCTGATATGCGCACGCATTTGACTGATTGACATTGTATTTTTATCAGGCACCTACGTACGTACCTTTATATTGTTATCCGTTATTGAGAAATGAGAAACCGGAAGTCAGCCGTTTGGACGTCGAGCGCGATATTCGGCGGCAAAGGTACGTGTTCAAAATATCAAATATTTCCGTGAGAGAAAGCGAATATTTGGAGTGCGGAATCTTTCGAAAATCTAATAGATTTAAGATGTTAGTTTATAGTAATTTATATGCTATTTATAAGTTTTTTATCCTTTGCGTTTCGACAATTTTTTGACATATTTTTAGAGAATTTGTCATAAATTTTAAATATGAAATTTTTTCCAGAGCCTATGTAAGATCCATCCTTTTATAGATTTTATAACAACATAAAAGACATAATATGTAATACGATGGAATTGGCAATATGAGCTCGATTTCAGTTTTCTTACACAATTAACACACCATTAAAACGTAAAAAGAATATCTTTCGAGATTTTTTTAAATTCTTGTGATCGATCTCTTTCGAAGAAAGAATCTCGAAAAATTAATATACAGAATAATCCGAATGTCTCAATTCATAAGAAACTTTAATCTTTTTAACAAACTGTCTTTATTCATCTTTTTAACAAATTGTCATTTTCACATGCTTGACGTCTTTACGCAATTGCGATTGCTTTGAAAACGCAAACGCGCCTCTCCCACTCACTCGTTAACATCTGGTGTTATGTGCGTAATTATACTTTGAATACATTTCTTTTTTAGTAACCCGTTTCATATATCTTCTCCTGGTACACTATGACCCTTAAAGCGGCTATACATCAAGCGAGCTGAAATTTCAAGACCTCAGAGACCTAGAAGTCTTCTAAATCCACATGCTGATCACGTATGAATACGAGGTGGTGTCCCAGTTTCTGGCTGAAAATTTCTCAATAAAATTCTCGTTTAGCAGAGACAACACATAATCGCGTGTCTCGCAGCAAGTTTACAAAATTATACTTACAAAATTATACGCATAAATAATTTTTCCCCCCCCCCCCCTTATGTCGAGAAGATAAATAGCGAAAGTTGAAACGAGCGTCCTTTCGAGATCTCCGATTCGAAATCGTCGAAGTTATCAGGAAAACACATCCCGATAAGAGAATTCACTCGAGCCGGGATGGCGAAAGCCGAAGTTCCGGCTGAGACGCGTGTGCCCCGTCCAGCTTTCTCGAATAATCGGCACCAGCCTTCGGAGAGCGGGAAAGGAGACGAAACGACGAGTATATCAAAATATAATATCGTTTAATTGCAATTTTACTAGCTCTCGGTATAAAGATCTAGAGTACAGAGTTGTCGCCCGTAGGATCGTAGGCGCGTGTCGCCGAGACACAAATTTTCAATTAAAAGGTACTCTAACGCAATCACAGTTTTTCGCGACACATCATGCAGTCACGTCATCTCCGTTGTCGCATAATACACGCGCGCGCATACGCGCGTACATACATACACATGTATATATTCATTTGGATAACATCAATCTCGCACACCAATCGTTAACACGTATATACGAATATCTTAACGATCTCGCGTGTATACCGAAGTGCGTATAAGCTTGCCGACGACGTGCAGAGTCCAAGAGGCGCAATCGAGATTCGCTCACCATCCTGGCGATGATGATATTCGCGCGACGAAGCTTGACGGCAGTGGAAAGAAGCGCTCAAAGATCCGCGAATGGCGTGACGTCTCGGAGATGTGACATCAGTCGCGTATCCTTTTTGTATCGTTGCACACGTTGCGACTACAGTAGCGTCACTTTATTACTTTATTACTTTAGTTTCTAGATGTACGGAGACGGCTGCTGCCTAGAGCTCAAACGATCGAGTTTACGAATTTCGATATCAAGGAAATCCGAAGTCTCCAAGACACCTAGAGAACGATCTAAGTTGTGGCTCTTTCTGCAAAGCTTCTTTGGACGTCTTTTAGAGTTCACGCTGTTCGGAAACTGTCCATTTTAAGCAAGCTTGAATTCCGTTAAAATTGACCTTGAGTGTGCTTTTGCGCTGAGAGAAAATTTAAATATTCTAAAATATTAATATGTATACAAAATATATACGTCGGGCAAGTTCTAGGCAGCCCCCAATCTTCCTCGATTCAAACGAAGAAAATTAACGTACAACTGCCTCGAAAGTATTCGAACAGGACCTAATGGATAGATTATGCGCGCTATGTTTCAATGCGTTTGCTTCACTTCTAACAATTGCGGATAATTTTCCACGATGTTTAGTAATATCCCATCGATGTACGTTCTCAGTTGCGTGTTCACTTCTTGCTGTTCTTTCAAGGCTTGTCTTAACTGTAACGTAAAATGTTACAAATTAATCAAGCTCTCAAAATATCAGTTATTGTGATTGTGAAATTCTAGATTAACTTTAATACGTACTTCAGCGATCGTGCACGGTTCGTTGAATTCCCCATCTATCTGTAAGGCAATAAGCGAAAGAAATCAATGTTAATAAAATTCGTTTATCGTTCGCTGAACAAGTTCGTCGGACGATGTAGCTCAAGAAAGTATACCTGATCTGGATTCATGCCGGCTAGCAATTCCACAGCGAGACTAGGACCTTTCTCGGCATTATTGTTACACGGATTCAGCATCAAAAGTTCACGGCCTGCCTGTAACGCCGCAGCGGCTTGCAGCTCGTCCCGAGATTCTTCCAAGCCTGCAAAACGATGAACGTAATGTTATTAGATAGTGTCTGGATAAAAGTAAGATTTATTTCAGAGAATAATTTTGCGTATTTTAGTCAAGGATCGAAACGCAGCTTTTCGCACAATAGAAATGCCGAAAGCAAATCGACTCTTGAAAGCTTGCGACATCCGACTAATATTTTCGTTGATATAACAATGAACGTACTTTTATTACGAGCTTGAAGTTGAGCCACCTGCTGCACCAGTTCCTCAATTCTCTGCTGATCCTCGCTCCGTAACGAAAGTTCCTCTCTCATGGCGTCGAGCATATGATGAGCCTCGTTAGTTCGACTTATCGCATGACGTTCACTTTCGCGCGCGCCGTCCACTTCCCTCCTGGCCTCCCGGAGATCGTTCTCGAGCCGCGTCTTATCCGCCCTCGCTCTCTCGAGCTGTTCGCGTACCCGCGCGATCTCCTCCCGCAAACTGGAGTTGTCCACCTCCGCCGCCTGTAGCTTGATGCCATAGTTTTCCAGTTGCAACTGACGCTCTCGTTCCAAGCGGCACGCCAATTCCCGATGTCTCCGTTGCTCGGCCTATGACGCGGAGAAAAAAAAACCTTTTTAATAAAATATGATAATTTTATGGCGACCAGAAAGAAGATCCGCAAACAAAAACTTTACCTCATAAAAAACATACATTTTTATCTTATCATAGAAAATCGTCGAAGAGTATATAGAAACAAAAATCTTCAATTTTCTAACGTATGCAAATATTATTTTATATCTTATAAAAACAGAAAAAGTATTATTTTATTGCATAAAGATGTATATGTATACATATATAATTTATTTAACAAAATGATCTGTATTTATAATGAACGTTAGAGCGTAAACTTTTCATTCTTTTGTTAGATTGTTTAATCATGGATAATTTTAGCCGACATCGAGCTACTCACTTGAAGTCTCTCTTCGGCCCTCGTTTCCGCATCTTTGGCTGCTTCCTCGAGCATCAATATGCGCGCTTGTAACGTTGCATTTTCCTGTTTCGCTCGAGCGTACCTCTCCTCGCCGACCGACTTAGTGTCCGCTAAGGCATCCATTTGCTCTTGGATCATTTGAACCTGTGGCATTTAAAAGGAGTTTGAAGTTTCACGAAACGCATCAAGATAATCGAGTTCAAGTTTCACTTCAGAGACTCTCTAAAGTATAAGTGTGGTTCTTAATTGCGATATAAATTAAAATAAATCTAATAAATTAAGATAAATCTCAACTGTTATAAATAGTAAGTACATTGCTCCTATTTCATCAGCGTTGTCCAACGATAAACTTTTTACTACGAGAACAATTTTATGAGAATGTCACAAAAGTATGTTTTGCAAACTGTCGCTATGTTTAAATTTCAGGTAGATTTCAGATAGGTGTTTTAGGTTTAGGTTTCCGGCCTAAAGAATTCATTTGAATTGGAATTCAAAGAAAACTTTCGCAAACCGTTGTGTCACGAGGGAGTCAACAATGGATATACGAATTCCTGAAGGATATGGCTATATATAGGAATAGAAAAGTTCTTTCCTGCGGACGATGTATCCTTGTCAAAAATATACAAAGGCAAGTTCCTGTCTAGAAAATTTTTGCTGTTCCGCAATAAGACAAGAAACTGAAAATATCTTTTGTAGGCATTTGCGAACATTATAAAACAACAATAAAAAAAACACTCGTAGCAAGAATAAAATAAGTCTAAATAAAGTACTTATTTAGATAAGGATTTGTAGATTGAAATATACATTTATTATCTATTTTATATAACAGTAGAGGCAATAGAAAACTAGAATGACGGTTTTATTTAACCAGATAGAACTGACGGGGGAAGACAGCACACCGAGGATTAAGAATCTAATGCGGCTTCACCGAGAAGACAAAAAGCCAACGAGAGTGCGAACGGATCGATCAATCGACACTATGGGGGTCTGGGGGTCCACGAATAGCTGCTACGTAGGCGCGGAATCGCGCGGAGAAAGTACATTGAAGGAAACGCTCCCTTTGGGAGCGTGCCCACGCTGCCGCGACTATCAATGGC